TTAACGTTCATTGTTCTTATTTTACAAAACCCTTTACTTTCACTAATTAGTTCGTTTCATGCGATAGTTTAACAGTCTGTTTGTAGTTTGACGCTTTTGTCAATAACAGTTTTAAATGAGCCGTTCCATTCACTGCACCTTATTTACTAGTCAGCAACAGTAATCGACAAACTTATCGATTCCGTTTTATTAAAACTTATTCAAATTTGTTTTTCCGTTATTTACGCACGTTATATTTCGTACAGAGTTCCGCTTCACAACAACTCCCCGTGCAAATATTTAATTAAATGACAATACTCAACATAATAAAATTAATCCTTTTTCCGTTAGAACAAATATTTTGTCATTTTTTGTTGTCGCCTTTGATCCGGTGCTTCTTTGTTCTCATCCATGTTTTGTAATTTATTTGCTTTTGACGGTAAAATCAAATACACTTTTATTTACTGGATGCGCAAACGCTACGCCCAACTTGCCGGATTATGAGATCGGCAATTGCGAGCAAAAAACAAAATATTTTTGTGTTCTCGCAAAATTGTCGCTGGAATAAACACTCGAACGACGCAAAAACAAGATAATGAAGAAACGAAGTTTTTGATGTTTTTTTCTGATCAAACAACAAAAAACTGGAATATGGAAGTACATTGAGTTTTTTGTCGCTTGTTTTTTAATTTTGCACCGAACTGAGATAAATAAGAACAATTACAAGGACGCTGTGTGTTAAATTGTTTGCGACCTGGGGCGTATTTTACAGTTATTGAAGTTCGCCCTAATACATTAAGCTTTTCAAAGAAAATACCTTGTCTAAACAGAAGTATTGATTGCCATGTGGATGACATTTACTTAGCTTAGGTTTTTGTTGTCACAACACACCTTAGTTGTATCCATAACTCTTTTCCTTTATTACCTCGGAGGTGTGGTTTGTACGTCGCGATAAAACAAAAATGTCCCTTCGCGACACAATTTCTAGTTTTGTTCTTTTTGTTAAACCTCTCAAGGATGAAGTGTCAGCTGTAGAGGTCTTAAGATCCAGCCCGTCTAAGCACCAGATGGATGTGGGATAAAGTGTCTTTGACATAATTATAATGCGCGCTTTGTGGTCTCGTGGTTGCATATGCACAATCCTAATTACGGCGCAGTCGGTTGGATGGGGAAATCTCGTAACAGCAAAGAAATCTCGAAAATACTAAAGCGAATTTAGCAAACAGGAATATTACGCAGAATAAGTGCCGCAGGCTTAGCATGTATTGCAGCAGACTTTCCGCCATGTAAGCTAATAGTGTTGTATAATTGATGTATAATTTGGGGCCCAGGTAAACTTTCCACATAACTGTAGATATTCATCACTGAGTATAAATTAGTCTGTGGTGTGAAATAGTTGGTTTCTATTAATTTTGACAAACAATGCTATTAAGTTTTCAGGTGGTATCGATTCGGTACCTCGATGAGGCTTTAGAGATTTTACAACTTTATAATAGCTTTGATTTCACGAGGGAGCGTTCAGTTGACACCACGCCGACCGAGTGTTCGACGCTAAATCAGGTTTCAAAAAGTGCCACTCGTGCCCCATGGCTAGCCGGCCGGAGCAAGCTGCAATTAAAAAAGCAATGCTAAATTTGTTTTACTAAAATTCAAAGGTTAGCACAAGCAGATCAGAGTAGGTTTTTAATTTATTTATGGCGCATTAATCTTCGATTTAAATGTGACGATTTTCAATGTAAATTCGATGATTTAGCGGCGGCGAGTGCAGGTGCACGGAGTCCATCCTCCCGAGTCCGATAAAACTTCGGCTTTCGGGTCGAAGCGGCGGCGGCGACGTGACCATACATTGTGTAAAGTTGTAATATTGGGCGCGTACGGCTTTCGGGCACACATAGCGCGTCGAAATGTTTGTTTTACTTATAACTCTCGAGAAAGTTTTAACACAAAAAGTTGCGAGTGTGATCCTAAGCGACTTTCGGTTAATTAATAAAACTTGCAAGTGTACAATCCAAGTTGGCGTGAGCCTATAGACGCCGCGGCGTGTCGGAAGCAAGAAGGCGGCGCAGGATCATTTTCTAAATTGCAAACTTGTCGACAATGGCCCGAGTTAACGAGTCAAAGGTGATTTATTGTTTATTGTGTTTTTCTTTAGGCGCGCAACTTTGTCCTTAGCTATATTGATTGGAACTATTTTCCATCACATATCGTTCACGGCTAAAATCACCACTGATCTCGGCCGAGTGGCCAACGTTTTACGCTTCACGGGTGGCCGCATTGAAGACTCCAAATGCGATGCTTGCGTCGCTCCTACCCATCACTTTATATTCTCAATTTTAAACCCGCTATTAAGGCAGTGGAAAAACTGGCCACTCACAAGTGCCCTCCAACAGGAATTTCAATGAAACACGAATTCCGGACAACGACCTGCTCGCTGCAAATTCCTTTTTGATTCTGACACCGCAACAACCGCTTTGAATATTTTCCAACTATTTTGCTAACGCGCCGTTTCATTAAACGGTGAGAAGTCGTCAAATAAATACATATTATATTTCTAATTTAGATGGAATGTAGCCGTCAGTTTTGACGTGAGATAATAATAAATGAACGGAATTGTGTTTATATTTTTAAAGTGTGTCAGTCAAATGAACGCGCCGTGATTCAGGTCACGCTATTAATTTCACAGAGGACATCTCACTCAATGGTGATCCTAGTCTTCTCCCGAGCGCTGAAAAATGATCAAATTTAACCTAACCTTCGAAGGGGCGAACCGATCTTCGTCGTACAGGTACCGTTCGCAGCCGGGTACCACATTGCAAGGTTTTAGGACTCCTCGGCCCGGTTTATCACACTGACTATTGTCCATGGCGACTTTTCCTGACACAACCTGTATCGTACCGCATCCCTCTGTCATAATTTATAACTGTGTGGTTGTATGGTACGTCATGTTCATTACTGATTAACTAATCTGTCTGCATTAAAACAGCAAATCAGCATGAAACGATCACTCATACGTGAGGTTCAACTTTGGAAAATGACATAATGTAAAGTAATAATAAAAGTGATGGTTAATTTTGGTTAAATCAGCGTGTAATCTAATAACACCGAGAATTTGAACAAATTATAACATCCATCTCACACTCGGTTATTCACTATTTCATGCAACGATCCCTAACGAGCAATGCGGATCCGGGGTTATTATTGTAATGATAATCGCCGAAAAACTTTCTACACAAATAATAGAATTAAAACGGATTCCTCTTCATCCTTCTCTCGCTCTTGTTTTCTGACACCTTACCCTCATCCATTTAATACCACCAGCTTTCTCTGTTAACAGTTTTTTCCGTCCTTATCGGGTTTTTCTAATTCCGGGCATTTGTTTGTCATGAGTTCAATACTTCCAAATTCTTTCTTTCATTATCTATTTCTTTTTATCAAAGACGCATCCTTCTGATCTTCTCGTTTTGTGCCGCCTCGAGGCTCGGATTTTTCTACATTTTTCCTTTCGAATTGTTTTATTATCCATTTTTACGCATCTTAAGCAGCGACATCACCCTTCCTCCTCTCGTTTAGTACAAATTTGCGTATGCGTGCTCTTTATTTCACATGGAGAAATAAAAGGTGAGCGAGTTTATTAAAATACACAGACACCGATCGGATACAACAGCATTATGTTGCTAATGGAACATGTATCATCTATAATTGAGGAGAGAATTGCAAACAACAATAGCGGATTAATAAATAATCTCAATGTAAATACTCTCACATTTATAGCTTTTATCGTCTATATTAAAGCAGGTAACAGCTGAGTTTTCCTAATTTATCACGCATAGTTGCTTTGATGTATTATAAATTGTAGTTCGTTTAGAAGAATTAAACCCGCACAAGGAATAAAATATGCATGCGTTTGAGCATCTATCTATCCGGAAAACTGGTATTACCGGAAGCTCTACCCACAGGGGAGAATTATTAACCCATAAAAATAGTTGGGTCTTTACGCCCAAAGCCGACCAAATTTAGACCACTTTCAGCGTTTGAATCAGATGATATGAATCCCAGGCTTAAAATAAGAAGGGCTTAGACACTTAAAGTTCGACGCGAGTTTACTTAAACTTTAAGTAATATTGACGTCACTGGAGCAGTTTTAGTAACTATATATATATACTTAAGTGGTTATTTACGATTACGTTAGGGATCGATTCGTACGATGAAAGGTTAACTTTGTGACAAAGTTGACGCACTCGTTGGGGTTCGAACCGGAATTATGCGACTGCTGCAGCGGCGGTATATCTTCCCGTCATCTTGTGTTTGCGTTCTCCTGCCGTGATTGGTTGTTGTGTACGTACTAACACAACTAGGGGTAGGCGCTTTGGAATGTTAATTACTCGTGCTGTTTTTTTAAGGACGGTGGCGTCTCATGTTCCGCGGCGGGATTGTTCATTACGACATTGAAATCTGATCTACCCCGAGACGTACACTTGAGTTCTCTGACCTCAAGTTAATTCTCTTTGGTGTTCGTGACGACGAGTCTTGAATATACCGGCCATTGAATTGGCGGTGTTCAGTAATTATAGAGATGACGCCAATGATATAGCGACGGGTTTGTGTAGGTGTAGCGTGCAGGGCCGTCTGGTTCGAGCCAATCGACCCATTATTTTCGCTTTGGCTGTTTTGTGCGTTGTGCCTTTTTCGGCCTGGGAGCAGCTTGCGCCATTAAGCCGGGCCTACCTAGCTAAAAAAATTCAAACGAAGACATTCCATCAAACATATTGCAAAAAGGGGCCCGCATAATCATTAAATAAAGCAAAAAGTCGTCACGTCCCCGAATAGCCCTAGATAAGCTATCTCCGTCGCGCATCTTTGTTTATTAGGGTTAGGTTATGATTGCTTCGGCCAGTGAGGGTCTCGTTACGTTTATAAATTTGTTGTGGTTGACGTGAGTGTGATGTTTTGTTGTTAATGATTTAATTACGATTAGTTAACGGTCGAAAGGAGTAGAATTTAACACTCGTCCTTGAACACAGGTCCCGGCGGAATGCTCTCAAGCGTCGTTGGGATCTAAGAAGTTGGGGCATGGGAATTCGACTGAACCAACGGTAGTGAATGCCACTGAAACATCCACGTCGAATTGCCCTCATCCCGAAACGCTAAGTTGGGACGGGTCAATCGAAATCCAGAGCGGCGATGTTCTCTTAGTGAGGATTGATGACTCGCAGCTTATACAGCATAACGCAATTATGAACCAGAGCAATGACAGTGACCATAGCATCGACAGGTAAGGACAAAAGACTTTCAGGACAAAGGAAATTCGAGCGAAGAGCCGAACACCCATTTTCAGCCTCATTATAACTTCTTGTCAATTTGCGAGAATGACAAATGAACTTCTACGCGTTACCTGCATTCCAAAAGCGGTGTCCTCGAAAGTGTTTACGCTTTAAACGCTTATTATTCCAGCCGTAATAAAAGACCATTCCGCGAATATATTCCGATAAGAGCACTTTGTACTCGAAATTTTCAACAGGGTCTCAATTCTCCGCGCGTCAACATTTTACAAGAATTCGCGGAGTAACCTGTAAGAGTCTTTCCCTTCATTTCTTTGTCATAATTGTAACGCTGGCAGCACGCACCAGCATTCACTATTTCAACACAAACCGCGAAAAAAACCCTAACGTTTAAACGCGTCGGCATCTAACTGCACTGCCATAACCCAAGGGACCTCTCATTCTCTACACCATTTCGAGATTTGGGAGTCCATTCTTGTGTAAAGGATGCCATTTCATTTTAAATAATTGCCTCAATGATGTGTCAAAATAAAACGTGAAACCGTAGTTAAGCAGGTACAACATTTTCTTCGAGTTTTGAGGTAAGCGCACCAATTTTGCTCAAATCGTTACCTAAATGTCTATTTGGCTTTATCAGTTGGCACCTTTTTGGTATCCACGCTAAAAAAGTTAGAACAAGTTAATATGAGGTTCGCATTGTCCATGTTGTAGGAGACCAAAGTTCGACCGACTAGAGGAACGTTCCAGAAGAGCTGCATAGTTTCATTTCATTCGCTAGTCCCATAAATTACAGAAGTTGTAGCAGCATGACCACGCGCAGTTTTTATGTTCGCGTTTATAAATTAAATTATAAATTGCGTCTAGAATTCGGCCGTATTTAGCATGAAAACGCAGCAAGTGGTGATGAGCTCAATTTTATCTCGCCGAATTTATCAAAATTTAAATAAACAAATAACAAAAAATATATAAATGAATACATTTAATCTAAAACCCAGTACAGGAATAACCGAAAATTATAAATCAAAATGTCCACAGCAAAATAATAATTGTAGTAATTCGAACTTAAATTAGCAAAATAATACTGTATACTGCAACAATTACAAATTCTATTGTATTGTAACGAAGCGAATTTTCGCGTGCCGGCAGAATTGGGGGCGAAATCGCGATCGCCGCGCCGATGCAGCCGGAAAAGAGGATTCTTTCGTGAAATCTTGCTGTGGCCGTTTTCCCAAAAGTGCGTAGTTTGTGAAAAGTCAGAGCCTCTGTAAGAACCGACAACCGTAAGTACCGTTTTGGTTTGCTGCCTGTTTGCGTACGGTTTTCAAATCGCCGACCTCAAGTGAAAAACCGTACCGCCGTCATCTTTTTTTTCCGTTACCGTCAGAAGCCGAAACCGTTAAGCACGCATCGTTTTCCATCGCCGCGCTCCCCTCCCGTCCTCGCGCGATTGCCCGTTCCAGGGTCGCCGCCGCCAAGTCCAGGAGGAGCCCGTCCTGAAGGAAGTCGCCGTCCAGGAGGAAAGCTGGCGCCCGAGCACCGCCGCTCCCGACCTAAGGCGCCACCCCAATGGCGTGAAGGTGTTCGCATAATTACGCTTAGGTCGGCCAGACTTGTTACTTTGTTGGCGGCACTAGTCGGCCCAAGGCTTGGCACCGAGGCACGCCACTCCCATGCGTTATTGGCGAAATTCCGGACCGTCACCGTCCGTACCACCGGAATTTCCTCACACTATTATTCATTAAACCAGGCAAGAATTTTTTAAGGAGAATTATTCGTCTGTAGTCTGTTTACCGAACAGATGGAGTGATCACGTGCCTACAAAGTGAGCAATCGAGCTTACACGATGACATCAAAATTGAAGGAAATTTCGGCGGGATGTTTAAACGTGTTTTGCCTGTTTATTAATTTTATAGTATTGTTGAATTCTTTGCAGGTTCTAACAAAAAATATGACTGATGAAATAAAATTTGGAATCAAACACGACGAAGCAAATTCTGTTGGTACCACTTCATGAAACTAATGTGTTCAGATTTTTGTCATTAATGAATAGTGGTTCCAAGTTGGATCCCTGGGGTACACAAGAATGAGAAAAAAACTATTAGATATGTTGAAATGAATAGTATAGATTCAAATATTTGCGTACAGTTGCAGAATATACTTATTGGTCTGTAATGATCAAGTGCCGGATTACCCTTTTGTGAAAGTGTTTTATTTTTCATAAAGAGCTCTTTCATACGATTTTAGCGTGGTCGTGGCGTTAATCGCCAGTAGGCCGATTATTGATGTATTGGAAACTCGCTGGCGCCCTTGTAACGTCCGATTGGCTCAGTTTTTTGTTATATCTATGGCCGATAGATAATCTGCCGAATCAGACACCAGTGATTTTATCCCTTCTGTGTTCGTGTCGAGTGGAGCGTTACCTCGTCCTTTTTCGGTGTTTATTCTGCTGTTGCAGATTCCGTGTTCAATATTTCAATAGCAGATACGCGGACGGTTCGTTTTGTCACAACGTTTAGGGATTAAGTTAATTTTTTTCGGCGTGTGACCATTTGAGCGGCTTCTTTAACTGGCTTTGTTTGAATTGCGGTTCGCGTTTCGCGGTGTTAATTTCGCAAATCTGGTTGCGAGTAATCCGAACGTCCGTTTGTGGATTCCCAGGAGAGGCAAAAGTTTAATTTTTGCTTTATATGGCTGGAAAGGGAAAACGGTGCTTATCAGGGCAATTGCCGCGAAATTAATAAACTTGCAGTCCAATTGTTCAAAATTTAAGGCGATGTATTAGGAGAGGAATAAAAAGTGGCAGTAAAGAAGCACTTTCATTCTCGCCGTATCCTCTTTGTTTATGTTTTCATTTTCATAGCAAGAGACTAGCGGCAGTAATGCGTCGGAGCATTTCAACCCCCCTTGGCACCATATCGCATAAAACGTAATAAATTCACTCACTGCACAAACAAGAAATGACGTTATTCTTATTTACTGCATCGCGTTTTCGGATTGATAAATGCTCTAATTTTTTATCGCGTTACGTTTGCTTTTATGTAGCGCGATTTGAAATTTCGGCTCGATTTAAAAATTAATACCGCGGTTAAAAGGGAAAACACCGATACGTACGATTCGCATAAATAACAATTTATATTCCCGGTACGATACGTCGCTCAAATTATTTCTAAATGCGCCCACCGATTCCGATATATTTTCGTCTTTTATGTTCCGGAAAGTGCTTCAAAGCGAGAAGTTTTTATTTAACCTAATGAATAAAATAATTCGCTTTGATTTCTTCCCAGCTATGAGGAAATCATTCGCTTGCTTTCCGTCTGGCGACGATTACTCGAAATGATAAACACCGCTCGAGGCAAAAATTCTCTTTCCCTTTTACGCTTAATTCCACAGAAAGCTATAACCGTTTGAAGTAAACGCTCAAAATCGAATCACCTTGTGTACCACTAGTTTTTCAAAGATTATTCGGGCTTTAAACCATAACAAAGGCTACAGTACGCGAGTTTCAGTTTGATACAACTTGGACGGAAGTTTGTTCTGACCAAAATTTTCTCACCGACCATATCTGTCACGTTTTCGTACATCTGCGCCTACGCGCAAACTTATTGTTTAACATAGTTTTTGGAAACTAAAGCACCATCACTCACGCAGCGGGAATAAAGTTTTTTATTAGTAGGACCAGATTTATATGCACTAAATAAGTCCAAATATGCTAAAAAATGCGTTAAAGAAACAAAAAGATTGATTACAAATATTTTTATGTTGTAATCATGGCGCCTGGTCAGTATAACCGCCCGACAAGTTGGAGGCGTGAGTTTGAATCCCACTCCCGACATTTTCCTCATTTCCACAGAATCTTGAAAAGGATGTTCCCACGTTGCATGGCGTTAAGGAGGAATATTTATTGCACTAAAATATGCATATAAGTCCGGTCTTTATTTATTAGTTAACGAGACACAGAAAACACTTGACGTCTGTTTGTGTCTTGGCACTCACTTAACGTAATTATTAGTAATTAGCGTGAACGGAGTATTTAAGAAATAACTGTGCTTTAATAGAAACACAGACACTAATTATGCGACTCGCTGCCACATAATAACGTAAATTGCCTTTTAAACAACGCCTTTCGACAATAATCCGACGCAAATTCACCTTGAAGAATTGGGTCTCTAGAATATTGTTTCACAAAGCCCTTTTGCAATTTTTTCGTCGTTTCTGTGCGTTCGAGAGTGACTTTTCCGACTGGGTGTACACTTAAAGTGGATTACTCCATCCATATTTTCGGTGTTAAGTTTGGCAATTTGATGTCATGAATTTTTGAGGGTTATCACTCACAACTTTTAGACAATAAAGGTGAAATATGCATGACGCTGTCTCTTCGCCGTAATGTTATCAGAAAAAGTTTGCACAAGAGTCTCTTTTATGTTTTTAAGTGAAGTGTGGTGAGATGTACGTGTTTTTAAGTTGCGTCTTGTGTCAGCCGCTTTCTTGAATTGTGACGAATTCATATATCGATTGTAGTGTCATTCGAGAGCACGAAGTTATCTGTTAAAGTTATTTCGTGGTGTATGCAACAAAACAAGTTGCAACGGTACAGAGCAATTTATCTTCAACTGTATCTGGTTGGAAATTCGGGACAAACTTTTAAAAAATTGCTTGTTAAAATTGTAAGAGTGCTTCCTGTGGAGAAGCGTATTTATGCGTGGCGACATCGAGAGGCTTCGTAAATAACTTAGAAAAAAAACATGCAAATACTGGCGCAGTTTAAAAACGTCGGTCACGATTGCCTGTAGATATTTTATGTTAAAGATGAAAAAAAGAAAGGTGAAGTAACGAAACGTTGCATAATTATACTTTACACGTGCTCGTGTTTTGACGCTCATTAACGCAATTTTAATTCCGCAAGGATTACGCTTGAAAAGTTCTAAAAAAAGCTTGTTAAATTCGTTAGAGTGCTCGAGGAGAGAGGAGTCTTTATTATGACAAATAAATGTTGTTAGTATTTTATTTCAAAAGTAGGAAAAGGAGACAATGCGATAACAAAAAGTAGCAATTATGCTGAACGTGTGCTCGTGTTTTGGTGCTTATTTAACGCGGTTTTAATTCAGCCGGATTAAGCAAGGAAAACTTGAAAACGGATTGTTAAATTCGTAAGAATCCAGTACGCGCCACGACAAGAGACTTTTATAAATAAATTATAAACAATTATGCAAAAAGTTCCTACGTCTTAGATATATTGTTGGCGTGAGGAAAGATTTTAATAATTCAAATTTAATCATTAAACTTCACTAATTCGTATTTTTTCCGTACAAAGGGATGAAACTTGGAGAGTTTGTGGTGCTAATTGCACCAAAGGGAGCGGCTTTAATGTGTTGCCTCCTAGGACTCACGCCACGTTCGCCACATCCGCCCCGTTTTACACACAAGACGAAATAAATAATCAAATGAAGTTTTTTCCGCGTCGCTGCTTTTTATCGGATTATAAAGTAGAAATATTTTCAAGTGACTTTATAGATTCATAAATAAAATGAAGGAATTGGCAACATCGTTGAGGAAAGAACGGGAAAATTCCACCTGCAGGTATCTACGAGCATCAGCCAGAAGGTAGTTTGCGAGCTGTTGTCGATGCGATTCGGCAGCAATATCGTCGCGATATTTTTCTCGTAAAAAAGGTTGTTTGTGATTGTGTGTATCGACAGGACCGTAGCCAGGGGGCGACAAAGGAAACCCCACCTCGTTAAACGGACTAAATACGAAAATACGACGGAAAACATCGCTCGCCGTTCCGTCGGATTAGAACGACCGGAATTACAACACGTACAAAAAGAACTTTGAGTTTATATCGTAGTTTCGCGTGTTCGCCAAAAGAACTACTTACACTGAAAATCAGTTGTGCTCAAAGCGGACAACTTTGTAATCTCAAATTCTTATATTCGTATTCTGCACTTTTTATGGACCGTATAAAGAGAGAAGCAGCATACAAGTGATCATAAAAGATCGTACATCAAGCTGGCTTTGAAAATCTGTCACTATAGTACACGCACTTTTACAACTCCATCTGTTCGGTAAACGGAGCAAAATTCACGAAAGCCAACTTAAGTAACAGAAAACAAAATCACAGCTTTATGAAGAAAGTCAAAATAGATTGAATGGTCGTAAAGCAGGATGAAATAAACGAACACGCGGTGTAGAAAGAGAGCGACAGGAGAGACAGAGAGGGTAAATATATAAGAAGGATTTAAGTTGCGGTGGAATCGAACTTCGAATGAGGGTGGCCGGGAATGGAATTAAGGAAAGCGCAAATAGGGAAAAGAAAGAGCAACTATTGTAAAATATGTATGATGTATTATTGGATGGTTATTTTTTGGTCACTCTTTGTTCGATGTATAGAAAGAGCGTTCGCTAACTGCGGCCCTGCCCTTGCTCAAGTTGCGTGTCCAATTTTGGCGTGTTGTGCGCATTTGTACGTTTTGTGGGGTGGAGGGAGGAAGAAAATGACTTTAATATATATCACCTTCATTATCGTAAACCAATTCTCGAGAGTATTGTTTCTTCTTTATGATAGAGGGCTTGCAATGCCTCTAGGGTATGCCCGTAAAAGGTCAGCGGAGTTTCGCGGCGAACTCATGTTAAATATTTTTCTTGCAGACAACGACTAGTAAATTCTGGCCGAAATACAGTTGTAATTTCGCCTGGGGCAATTGCATTCATTACTTTCGTGAATATTTTACTATGATATTTCCCGTTTTCGTCCGGATAAACCCTTTTAGTTAATAAAAGTTTCTTGTGCAATAAACCTTCAAGTTTGTCTTAGTTTATAGACTTAGGGGTCTCGCGGGGCCTGTATTTAAGCTCAACTTCCACTATTTTACAATTTCATAGTGAGACAATAGTGTTTTTGCCTTTTTCTAGGTTAATGCACGAACCGACGACGGCCGTTTATCAAGTGACCAGGACAGGACACGACCATTGCGATGTCACCGAAGGAATTTTACTAGACATCACTCCCTTAAAAGTGGATAACCAGAAAGTCGTTACGTTGTACGACAAGGATTTAACGTTGGGTATCAATCTTCTTATTGGTAAGTCGAAGGCAATCATTACTTCGCCCTTCACAAAGCACTGTTTTCTAATCTCACCATTGACAGAACCCAACCAATACACCTCGACACTTTCAAAAGAAAAAGCCTCACCGACTTGCCCATTGAAATTAATTCCAAAGCGGCCGAATATACTGAAATATTTGATCGTAACTTCGTTACGTCTTAACGACCCTGACGCGTCAAAATTTAACAGCAATCATCTTCTAACTCAATAATGTTGAAAAACTTATAATTAAGTTAGCGAAATTTTCACAAATCTAATTATTTTCAATATCGCTCCAGTTAATTATCAACCATTTTATAATGGCTAATGCTCCATAACTCTATGAAATAGAGCACGGGGGTGGATCTAGTCTGCTTACCTCTCGAGTGCCGCAATTTGAACCTCCTCCATCACTTCGGTGATAAATTTGCAACTAGATACTGATAAGAACGGCTTCTGACAGCAGCGATTGATTCAATATCTTTCACTTTTTCTTAACCTCGCCACATTTGAATCCCGGAGACGTAATGCTCTTTATGGAGTCAAAAGACGCTCGCTCGCTGCAACAATAACCGTCGTATGGTAATTATCTCTTATCTCCAGCACGGTTTTGTTTTAATTTTTTAGGTGCGGCGATGGGATTCGATTATCATACATTATACGTGTATCAATTAACTACCTTTCGGGTTGGTCGAATTGCGCTTTTCTATAATTGATGTCGCGCGCTAAAAATTCCCGGTAATGGAAATGCGTTCCAAATCCTCCTGGGTTATTGTGCTTTTTTCGAAGTCCAGTGCCCGAAAGTCTGCCTTTCCGTAATGAGTCGGCGAAAATCATCGCTTTATTACGCACTAAAGTGAATGTTTGGCCACTTTTTGCGGTCGGGCAAAATCTTTGCAAAAAATCTTGTCTGATGACTTCAATGACTCGAAAACAACAGCCGCTTTTGAGGTGTCAGTGTCTATAAACAAGCGCCTCGCAACATTTTGCTTTTTTATTCATTTGCCAGTCGATAAACTGGGTTAGGGTGCACTCGGGCTCTCGAAGGCGATGATCGACTTTCATAGACTTTAATGGAAATAGAGTATCGTTTCAACAATTCACTTATTCGCAAAACGAGGATCCCGCAGTAAAGCGGGACTTATGTTTTGGAAAAACTTTTTGATATAACTGACTCACCGAACGTCGCGACAAACTTTTCCATTTACTCCTCGATCGCGGCTAAGAACGGGCTTCATATATGACTTGCACATTCCGAGCTTGATTCTAATTTTTTCTTCGATCGCATGTTATTCGAAGCGAGGTCGCGAGGATCCGCCCTCGAGTGCACGAAATGAGCAAATCTTCCCTAAAATGAGAGTGAAGTTTCATTAAAAGACGCCGCGTAACAGCTTGTGCAGGTGAAGTTGGAATCCGTAAATAAAAATGTTGGGCGTTTTAATAAGACTTGTCAAACCGTGTTGCAGATAAGTTGGGTTCTGTCTCGTCGACCGAATTTTACTCATTTTAACGGTGCGAACTTGCTCACTTAATGGGTATTTTCTAAAAGCGTTTCCTCGCTATTGTTATTTCTTCATAAATGTACAATAGAGGAAAATAAGCTCGCTTCGCTCGCCCGCCTATACTCTATAGCCATTTTGAATTTTTATTCCTTTGTGCAAGGTAACTGTTACAAACAATAACACACCATTTCAAAAGAGAAATTTGTTACAAAATTATTAAATACGTCCAAAACTAAGCCAGGATAATTGTCAAACTTTCCAAAATAATGCGCAACCTGCCGACGCCACCGCATTACAAAAAAAATTAAATATGCACTAAAATGGCAAGCTATTTTCATGCGGTTGAGCCTTAAATATAAACCACATAATTAAAATGATAAACGACAACATAAAAATGCGCATTACGATTTATACAGTTTTTGTATAAGTGACACCAGAATTACATCGTATACACAACAATAGAAACAAGTATAATATAAATAGAAGTTCGCAATCCAGCTTCTAGATTCCTTCCAGTCGATACGGCCGTAGTGTCTTTTACTAATTTAACGATCTTTGCCAACTTCGTAGTTACGTTGGTTTCCCACAACACGACCCGTATGTATTTCTCGGGAAATTTTTCCTACGCATTGGCGAACGACGATGGGGGTAATAATCACTCAGCTAAATCCTTCTCACACGTTTCGAACAAACACCAAAACGATATAGAATTACAAACCAAATCCTAGACTGCTTCGAAAAAAATACGAACCTGCAATTTCCTCCACAAATATAACCTTATAGTAGGTGTCAGTTCGCAGTGGTTGTTGTTTGACACTTGTGGCTTATTTTACTGAAATTTTACAACGACATATTGTAACCGTTACTACACCACTGCTCAGAAGTTTTTCCTCAATTAAAGAAATACAATTAAAGTGAACTTTTGCTTATTTAAACAACAGTATATCAAATCATATTGTATACGCCACCCGGGTGCGACGGCTATGGGTTTTAGTATGATCGTCGGTGACGGGAACCGGGGGCGTTCGCTAAGGAAAAGCCTGGAAGCTGAAGTCGCGATGGGTAATCCAGAAAGACCTCGATTGCAGAACTTCTAGAAGAGAAGTATGACTTTAAATAGAGGCCGCCTTCAGGAACGGATTATTCAGCCAAGTTAGTCAACGAGTCGAGTCCAGCGAGTGTCGGGAAAATCCAGACAAGTTACCCCGGAATTATTTTGTATAATCGCCGTGTAATCAGTCGCGTAAATTTGACTTATTAAGAAATAAATTGTTGAATTTTACCCACGCCGATTTTATTCACCAATCATCGTAACACTGGTGTCAGAAGTGGGATTTGAGATTAACTGGTTCTACGACGACATCCGGGCATTATTGGACAAGAATTCTAAAGAATTTCTGCCTGTCGAGACGAGAGCTCACACTGCAGCAACAATGGAAGATCAGGTAAACCAGATGATGGCTATGTTTGCAAAAATGGACGAACAAATGGAAGCAAGAAACAAAGAAATGAACGAAAAAATGGACGCAAGAAATAAAGAAATGAAAGAAGTAGAATTTCTGGGGCATACTGTTTTGGCAAACGGGATCAAGACTACCGAAACGAAAATTATATTAACTAAGAATACCTAATTTATGTATTTCATTCGATAATGTGACCACTTTTGTTCTTAATGAGGGCAAACAAACTTTTGGTATTTTTTTCCTTTAGTTTATGTCATGGTCTTATATAACCATAGTGTGGGTTCAAATTTTGGCGGGAAAATTTTTGTTCATGATCAGGTTCGGTTCTTCCTCAGTAGCGAAAAAGGGGTTAAAAAAAGTAGTCAAAAAGCAATCATCTGTAGAAAAAGCAGTCACCTGCACAAAGTGAAAAATTTTAAACTGTCTTGAGGTTCTAGGTATTCCTGTTTGGAAAGAATTTGAAAGTGCTTTGCAGCCTCTAGTGTCTTTTCTTATAAAAATTTAATTAAACTTCTTAGGGGATACGTAATTTGCTAAAATCGGTCTTATCTTAGCAGGTACTAGCCCCGCCCACCCACCCTCTCTTTTCTTAGAGGGTATATCATCTGCCAAAATCGATCTTATTTTATCAGGTACTAACGCCGCCCAGCCGCCCCGAATTCTAATTCTGGATTCTAAATTTTATGGGGGTCGACCGTAGCCAGCCGGCACTTAGGCCTTGCCTTTGGGCCCATTGTACCTTCCCCAAATCCAACCCACCCGCCCTATATTTTCTTAGAGGGATCTCATTTGCCAAAATGAGTCTTACCTTAGCAGGTACTAACCCCGCCTACCCACACCTTCTTTCCTTAGCGGGTATGTCATTTGCCAAAATCGATCAGGAAGGCCTACTATCTAACTACTGTTCCGTTATTGTGCTTCTGCTATTCTTGATTCAAAATGTTCCACAAATTTTCCTTCGAAATAGGGCAGAAGTTACACACCTAACGATCGGAGTTACTGAACAAATAATACTTTTGAGCAGTAGTGCATATTATAGTCACCTGTACGTGTGTATTGTTAGTTATTTTTTCGAAAATGTTTACGGAACTAGATGATCTGACCTAACCTGACCTGACCTGATAATGGAATTCATCCCACAAAAAATCTATATAGGATTTGAATAATAAATCTAGCATAAAAGCAAAAAAATCCTCATTTGGAGTTATTAAAAAAATAATACACAACAACACATTTTTTTTCTGTTACCCTCCCTTCCTGGTAACCGTACCGTCTCCCCGGGATTTCCCGTTCCAGGCTCGCCGCATCCAGGAGGGAACGATAGTGTTAATTTTCTTCAGTTTTACTTTATTTCTTGTTTCCGTGGGCGCTCACTAGACTACTTGGAGATCCGTCTCGCTGACGCCCGAACACCGCCGCTCCCGACCAAAGGCGCCACCCCCAGTGGCGTGAAGGTGTTCGCATAAGCCTAGGTTGGCCAGACGTGTTACTTTCTCAACGACACTAGTCGGCCCAAGGCTTGGCACCGAGGCACGCCACTCCCACGCGTTATCGGTGAAACTCCGGACCATCACCGTCCGTCACCTGAATTTCGTCACAGTACTTTTGAGCAGTGGTGTATTTTATAGTCACCTGACCTAACTTGACGTGGCCTGACCTGACAGAAACTCCATATGGGATTTAAACAAAATAATAAATTTAGGACCAAAGCAAAATCCCCATCTTCCAGTTAGTGACAAAATAAAACTTTTGAGCGGTGGTGTATTTTACAGTCACATGTGCGTATGTATTCTTAGCTATTTTGTTCGAAAATGTTTACGTAGCTAGATTTTGCTCTCTTCGCGCGGTGCATTTGAGTGTGGGATTTTTGCCGAGTGCAGTTTTTTAACTGGGGTTTGGGGATGTGTAGCGAGCGAAGCGAGCTGTATTAGTTTTGATGAAGTGTTGCAATAAATGGGAGCGATTTGTTACAGTTGTCTCCGAACTGTGGGGAAATCAGTGTATTCGATTGAAAGTCACTGTGAAATCTGACAACTGCGGGGAGAACGAAGATTGTTCAGGCAAAGGCATCTGTTATTCTAACGTCTCAATGGTAAGTCTTACTTTAATCTTGCTTTGTACAAATAAATACGAAGTCGTGGTCGATAAGTCTTTGTACGGGTGTGGGAAGTAGGAAATCAACAAGCAATTAGCTTTATACGAATCGATGTGTCGTTAAACCCATCGATCCACGCCTTGCCGAGCTATCACAGCGCGAAAATTTATTTAAAAAAACGAGCGCGCCCTCATGCAATCATCCTTTATTGTTACGTCACCGCAAGAATTCTGACGTTTTATTAAATCCCTTCAAACACTTCCCTGGATGGAGGCTATATATTAAGCGCCACTTGTGTTCGATCTATACTTTGACACGTGACTTGTATGCTTTTTCCCGAGCGTCTCGAATTTACTATCTCACCTTGGATTCCTCGCTAGATTTGTGGTGATAGCGAGAATTATTTCTAATAATAGTAGGTATGAAACCTAATATTGCCACATCAGAATTCATTGAGCGCATCGTCGAGCCGAAAGTGCTAAAAGATGTGATCAACGCCCGAGAAACAACACATATTGCATTAGGTTCCCCTTCATTCTCCCTTTTAATCAAGATCTCTCTCATCGTTGCCGCATTAATTCCACCAATCCAAATTTTGTTTATGATATTGCGTTTTTCGTATCACACGCAACTTCGCTATATTACGTACTAAATCTTTCATTTTTAAGTGAGGAATACAATAGTGAAGACTCATCTTCCTGTCTCGATTCTTAAGCGAGTTGTGACAGGATGAACGATGGGGGAATTTCACTTTGAGAATCACTTATTATAATGTCTTATGGGAGGGCAGATGCGAAGCCAAACTTTACGCAAAATACCCATCCAACATTGTACTACCCCGTACCGAGCTATACAAAAATCCCTGTTCGTTCGGTACGTAAATCGAGATAGTCCAGGTGATAGCGGCCGAACTTGAAATATGAAGACAAAACCCATTTCTCTTGAATGCACGGAAATAGAACCTGAGACCGTACATCAAGAGCGCCTTGTCTTATGCGCCATACTTTTTTAATTTTTGAAAAAGCTCCATAAAGAGCAAATTTGAATGTAATTTATCATGTAACAAATCTACTTTATTACATACCGAATGTCTCGCTTACGGAGGAATGTTATGGTGAAAGACGCATCCTCCTGTCTCAATTTTGAAGCGAGTTATGACAGGATGAAGGATTGAGGAATTTCAACTTTGAGGGCCACATTTTATAATATTTTATGGCTTATAAAAGCACTCCTCATCGTATAAAAATTTAAATGTAACATGGAGTAACAAGATTTTTATTTCGTTAAAAAAATTTTAGTCAATTTATCGCACGAAAGGCGGTTTCTCGCGAATGCGTGTAGGTTCGAATGTTTTGAAATGGGAACATTTGTTTTATTAAGAGTTACATTTAATAGAGCGTAGCGCGCTTCTTTAATTTTATCGAAACAACTTTTCTAATGCGATACAATTCGTAAAATTTTCCGTGCGTGAAACGGGCTGTAACAGCGAAAATTTTCTACAACAGTTTGCCCCAATCATCTAATATTTAATATTGATTTTCGTCGATCGGTATCTACGAGAGGTGGAATAAAATTGCGATTGTACAGTGTTGACAAACTATTAATGCGAATTCGGAAACGGCGGATTTATTCGTTCGAATATTCAACTTCAAAGTAAAAATTCTTTGATTCTTTGCAAGTTTTTTAAAGTGCATGGTGAAGCGAGTAAATTCATTAAAATGGAAATATTCCCTTTGGTAGGAGCATGCTTATTTAAAATGTTTATGATTTCATGCAAGATGGTGATGAGAAAGAGCAACGTTTTTAAATTTTACCTTTCAACGAGCATAAGCTTTACATATTTTATAAGACTTCTCACTTGAATTTTAAAATTTTGTGAGTGTACTCGACTTAATTTATTCGTAGAAGCAAATCTTAATCCAAACATTGAGATCATTTGCGGCTCTACATAATTTATCTTGTTTTAATTAAACGTTTTGTTTTATTTATGTTAGAGATGCGTACGTTTTGTGGCGGACTTCCATGACCCATTTTGTTGAAAACTAACATTTTTCATGGTAGTCTTATCTCGCACTTAAAACGGAAGCATTCAGATGCCACAATGCATTGCGCGGACTGGCTACAGGGATTTTTATATTTTAATTCGCAACGTCACGATCCGTTATTTACTGTGGGGTAAATGGTCTAAGTTGTAATGTAGTGGGTTGGACGGTCCCTGCTGAATTAGTCAAGAACTATTTTAAAGTCGGCAATAAAATTCAATTATTTTCGGAGCGGTCATCGTGCCCTAATCCTCTCGTTGCCAGGGACCATAAAATGAATCGCTTTCCGGACAGGTTAAGAATGACGGTAATCGATATTACTAAAATGTCCAGTTAAACAATTCTGTCCTCCTAGTTAGGGCGAGTAAATAAATTACTCTCGGCATGTGCTAGTGTCAGTTTTATCTAGATCGACTTTGCCGATGCGGCTACCAGAAAAGAGGAATTTTTACTTCCTAAGCGGAAGCTAAACAACAGTAAATGTTAGCTAAATTTTTTAGAAAAAGATACTCCTGCACGTGTGATTTATGAATCCGTTTGAGTGTTTACTACACATATATACAAATTTTTCGAGAAAAAAAAAACAAAATTGTGTAACAACATTGTGAAATTTATATATAAATCTATACTTGTGATTTAACTACTAACACTTTATCCATCAAAAACCAAAAGATTTTCAAAAACCGAAGCACTGTTTTCAAAAATCACTTAAAGTTCACCTAATCAATAAACAATCGACGACATACTTCGTTTCCGCCACGAACTTGTTCAACCTGGATGTCGGTGCATTACACCCCCTCCCGACGCCCTCGGTGATTCATCTTCGAGTTCGCAAATTCCAAGAACCGAGTCGTCCGATATTTTTCAAGAAATTAATATTGATATTTATAGATTCACACCAAATACGACGCGAATTTGGCGCAGTGAAAATGTAACTGAACAAATCAAATTTAAGAAAAATTAACCAAAAATTATCACCAAGCTTAGTGCTAAGTGAATTTTGTTTAAAACGTCAACTTCAGGTCCGAGGGAAGTTCTGTCTAAATAACTTTAGGGCAATTTTTCTTTATAAAGTTTCGATTTGATTTTTTATTTTGCTAATTAATGCCAAGATCGATTTCATTTTGCGTTGTACAGTTACCGACTGTGATGGGTTAAAGTTGAGTAACGTCAGTAAAAGTTTGGCTGTCAGGTATATAACTATTAGGAACGTTCTAGTAGAGTTTCTGCTTGTAATTTCCTCCAGTTGCGCCGTAGAAAATTCGTTGGTTAGCAATTTGTAAAAACTTCAATATTACGAATTCAGTTTTTCTAGTGAAAAGTAAATAAAGTAGTTTTTCTTGTAGAAGTTGGAGCTTTTTCTTTTTGATTTAGTTAATTATTAGGGTCACATCTGCCGGCGTTGATTTTATTTTGGGTTGCTTAATTAGATAGCTACATTTGTTATAGGTGTAGGTAGGGTCCAGCCTAAAACGTGACATATATAAATTGTCTCATCCCAGATTTGTTCCCAACTTGTTTACTTCAAAGCTGCGTATCATCCAACCTAGGGCAAAGAAAAACAAATCAATGTTTTGTCTACAGTACGGTACAGAACTTCTCCGGCATTATTGCTTTACTAATTGCTTGTTATTGAGATTTCTCTTCTCATATAAACAAACTTTTTCTTCTAATTATTTCCACTCTCTCCGATTCGGTTGATTTTCGTAGGTGGGTAGAGCGTTTTTATTATTTTCGAGGGTGAAGCTCATTATCAATACCATGACGAGCAAATCCTGTAATAAGAGCTTTAAAGCGTCAATTAAGCCAAACAAAACGCAATAATTGGAAACGTCAATCAAAAACACCGCTTAAACCCTAATTAACTCTTAGATGTGGTCTCACTTCTTCCATTTCATAATTCAATTACAACTCGGGACTGTTACAATCAAACTTCCGATAAGTGAAAGCAATTGCATTTGATTATATGCTTCTGAGCTGCCTAAATACAAACAAATCTAAACCTCTACCCTTCAAAGCTGAACCGCACGCTCAGCAACCAATCTGAATAGGGACAGTTTAGGTTGGCTCCTCTATGGCAACGAATACAAACAAGCTGTCATTTATCACAAGGCCTTAGTGTTTCATTAAAACTTTTTAAAAGAATTTTATCTCGACGTCCAAAGAAATGCCACCACCTTTCGAAGAAAGAGAAAAGTCCACCATTATTGCCGCTATTGATTTTACTGTACACCCAATTAGACACCATTGTTCACATTCCACAACTGCCCTTAATTACACCACAAATATTAAAGTCACCATGTGCACAACGCATTCCGGCGCATCCACCAATTTTAACTCACTTCGCAAATTTATTGCGCACAACTTTGCCTATCCCTTTGTGTAAATGATCAAAATCAAAACTCACTATTTTGATTTTTCAACCATCGTTCGCTGTTCGTAATTTTGATTTGATGCGAGGGTCGTGAGCCCGATCGGCTTATTTTTAATATTTCTTTCTCATTTGAAAAGTTAAATTAAAAGCTCACTCAATTTACTTCGTTTTCTTTACATGGTATGGTAGTGGCACTTCCTTTTATGCACGAGTTTCATATAACGCAAGCCCAGAGTTATACCCGCTGTCTATATAAAAACGGATTCTCATTTTAAGTTTAGCTTCGATGAAGATGTGTTGTTTTATCTTTTGCTTGACATGACAGAAATCTCGGAATCGATGCTCTTTCCTCGAAAACGCCGGCATTCCTACGTACTGTTGTGTAAAATAAAATTTTAATCCGTTTTGTATTTCAAGATTTGTGACAGGATCACTGCGAGAACTTGATAACTAGATAATTATCTCCTTGGTAATAAAGTTTCACTTCAAACAGACTTTTTTCCGAACGACGTTTTCAAACACGCGTCCGTTTCAAACGAATTATTTGCCCTCTCATAGTGAATATTTTCTTTACAAATATCAAAGCTAAACAATCTCTGTAAACCTACGAACTTCACTTACACCTACAAATACACGTGAATTAGACTTATCTGTTTCCTTTTGAAATTACATTATTTTGATGTTTCCTTTTTCAACAAAACCAAATTCTCTTTGAAACAAATCGGTAGCGTTGTATTGTTTATTTTCCGTTGAAACGGCTCTTGAACACTTGGTTTAGTCGAGCTCCTCAAAACGTTAAATAAGGTTTAGCCATGAGAACAAATGACAACAACAAACGCTCGCCTCATTTCAAACGCAAATTCAATAAAAGAAGATTGCGCCGTTTTCGGCGGAGGCCAAGGGAGGAGTTTATCGCAGCGTCCACCCTTAAGATATTTACATTATTTCTTGGCCGGACCACACACACATTATGCTTTCTAATAAACTCATCACTGAAATAGCGACCTAGAAAATGATAAGCGCCAGCAAAAAACCGTAAGCGGTAGCGAAATCCGTAAGCGGTAGCGAAAAATGGTAAGCGGTAGCGCGCGATGACAGTTTACAGCAGCCACGTGTCAGGTATTATTAATTAATATTAACAATAACAACTTAAAAAACATTACGCACCAATCGTTGTTTTTATAAAGCGTTTAGAAAAGGTTACGCTCTTCCTTAATATTCCTGTTCGTCTCAATATTTGGTCAAGCCTTTTTGTACAAATATGTCCTGTGACGTCAATTTGGGCACAACGTAAGTGTAATTTGAGCCACTTCCATGACATTTTTTACACGTTACGGGTAAGTTTGCCGTTGGCAGTCAGTGTTGTTCTTTAAAGTTGAAACGCTTTTGTAGAAACTCCCAGGGAAGCGTTAAATGTTGAAAATGAAAAAAATTATTCAACAAAATGTGTTTACGTAGCTACAGTGGAATAACCAGTAGCGTTGGGTATTTATTTTTGCTGCGGGCCGTTTTGAATGGGATACAGTGTGATTAATAAATTTAAATGTCACTTTGGTGGTATATAAGTATATGTAATCTTGTTAAAAATGAGTTTTTGTTGATGGGAGTGAATTTGCGAGGGGCGCGTAATTGCGAAGTTTGCCGTGTTAAAAACAGAGGAGTCGTTGACAATTAAGTTGTCAAAGTGTGCATTCAGTGGGGTTTTATATCGGCGATATTTTAGCTCGAGGGGTTTAAGGTGCAGTTTTTGCTTGGCGCGATATTTATGTCTTTAATTAAAATGACGGTAAGGAGAGAAAAGTGATATTAAAAGTCGTTATTGTGGTATTGCTGATGGATGAATGAATAATTCAAGACGTAATTCAGGCCGGTAATGAGGACATGTTGCTCTGGTTATTTTGCAGGATGGGTACGAGTGCCAATGTTGTCTTGGTTTTGTCGGTCAGCATTGCGAGGAGCAGGATGCTTGTTATCCGAGCCCTTGTAAAAATAATGGAATCTGTGTGGATATTTCTCAAGGGCATGAAGGATCGACTTTTCAGTGCTTATGTCCTTATGGTGAGTAAACTTATGAATACCTAAGTAATGTATGTATATTCAGATTTTTGCCTCTTCTATTTTATGAAGGTATTTTACATAAGAAAATTGCGTTTTTGTTGAACACCTTGTTAAAATCTAACGTAATTCGCCCAATTCACCGGAATTTAAAATGACGCTTTGAAAGCGCAGCTAACCAGAATTTTAAATTTAGATTAATGCGAAATTATTCAAAAGCGCAACAGCGGAAATTGGACTGTCCAAAGGGTATAAAAAATAATTTTCTCTTTTGGTCAAGATTAAAAAATAAGAGGGTTTATATTAAAGGGCGGTATGTAAAAATGGCGCAGCCGGTAGGATACGACCTTGTTGATTTATTAATGCGTATCACTTTCGAGATATTTTTCCTTCATAGACGGCTAAAAATAAAAGCACGCCGTGAATTCTTTGGGGGGTTGCCGAAAGTGACATTTGCTGCTCACCACCACATAAATTAATTAACAGCCTCGTTAACAAAAGTAAACAAGAGAATCAAAAGGAAAAAACAAATAAAGTTAATTTGTAAGGAACAACGTCTCTAATTTAGCTAAGTTACGTTGCACTAATTATATAGAATGATAATAAAATAAATCATGATTAGTCCGCGCTGCTTTTAAGAAGTTTCATTAAACTCGATGGGAAATAAAAAGCTTTTAAAAGTTTCCCCTTCACATGATAAGGATCATTTATTTTTAGCACTGATTTAGTCGACATTGCGCGGAAATCTTTTCCCAAAATGATGAAAAAACTTGCTTTTAAGCTGAAACGACATTTTCCGACTACTTTTGCTGAGCCTAATTTCAGATATAGCCAATATTGATTGAATAACGCAAACAAGTTGTGCTTTTGAAGATTTCGGAGCGCGGCTGTTGTGTGCATGTAAATTATTCGGACAAGTTAGTGGCAAAGTTCGACATAAAACGTAGAAGTCGAAAATTCGTACTCTGACCGCAACTCTAACAAACTAAATAAGAAAGTTGAACTGAATTTATGTGTTGGTCGGTAAATCGTTTTTCATATTTTGTACAAATTTCCGGGGAATTCACGGATTTGTCAGCAGCGAGTAATAAAATTCCTTTTGGCTCCACGGAGTTTAATTAACGGATGAGTTTAATCGATTTTTGTCAAGTGAGTGCCAAAGATCTATAAAACTAATTAATTCCCATAATAGGGTTAATTAAGGCGGCCGATGTGGTTTATTTCTTCTTCAAGTGCCATTATTTACCGATGTGGTCAAACTTGTCGGTCTTAAACAAGCCAAGAGTAATAAAAATAGACATTTGTATGAGCAGAGAAATAAAAGTTCCTGCTGGAATAGTCGTGCACGTCTAGAAAATAAGGGCGCAGCGACGCCACCGACGCGACGCCAGTGCCAATGATTCTGAATCTGCTTTAATACCGCATCTACTAACTCCACAAAACTTCCAAAAGAATATTCACCGGAGTAATACACATGTAACACCTAATCGACTTACCTCTACCTGATTTAAATTTTTAAATTCGTCGTCCTTTCCCGGACCGTGACACCTGACCCTCGTACAACTTTAACAAGCCGCATATTCTTCTATTTTGTAACTAGGTTGGTCAATAGGTGTATGTTTGAAATGTTGTCCCCTATTGGCCAGCTCCTCGGTCGATGATGCAGAGGGTCAAACCGCAAACTTTAGAACTTTGCAACATTTCAAATAAACAGAATCGTTAATTGACGTGTATCGTCGACAATACAGATTTATATATCGTCGACATAAATTACGTTTTGTAATTGAACGGATGAATGATTTTCACAATTTATGGGTTCATGCGAAGCCGACATTGTTAACACAGCTCATTGAACTGATTGAAGTGCTTAAAGCTACTTACTGTGAATCTCTATAAGATCGCTCTCCCATTATTATAACCAGGCTTTCAATCGGCTCAGCCCACAATTTTTCCTTAACTACTTTAAACCTAAACACAAAAAATTCCAATCGATACTGAAACACATAACCCTCTTCCCCCTATCTTTTAATAAAATCGCACCAGAAGCAAATTTAAGAAAAATAATTAAACTCCATAGTTATTTTTGGCTGCTATTATATAGATGAGTTATAGAACCGCAGATGCTTGAAATTGCACTCTATAAAAGCTTCACCCTTAAAACAGTTTTTTATCATTAACCGATATCGTAAATTATCGAATTCTTTGGATATGCCAGAAGTATAAAAGCGACTCGTGCTGCGGCATTTAAATCGGGCGAAAAAATATGAGGAGAATGTTCGAAATTAAGTGGACATAATTGATGGATACGTTGCACGGGTTATTTCTCCTCAAAATGGAAACTTCCTCGACTTGCCATCTTCCTATCCCATTTCGATGACTCCAGACACGTTTTCTCACCTTAAAACATCTTTCATTTTCTTCATTAGATATTGTCACCATCAACCGTAGCAACAAGTTAAAATCAGATTAACACTTACATAATACTTAAAGAGACAACAAAATTAAATTTATTAGGACTTTGCTTTGCTCACAAGTAGTAGTTTGGATTTGAATGAAACTAATAGACAATACGAAATTAACTGAAATTTTAGAATGTGATCATCGGGCACCAGTTTTTGTACATTAAAAATTTAATTCTTACCAGCAGATATAACCAATATTGATAGAATAACGCAAATATAGTTCCTAATTTGGTTTTGTGGTGGGAGTATTGTAACGGTTCTCTACATACTAAATGTAAATTTTTTCAGTCTTCCACAGTATTATTGGATTACGCTTTGTAAAATTAACAGTTTAGGGGATGCCAACACCAGATGATTTCTCGATTTTCTCCAAAACCGTCTGTTTGATGAAATTTAACTAGTTAATTACCACCACCCGACAATATTTATTTTCAAAGGGTTTATATATATGTATAACATGTTATAAAGATTGTATTGAAAAGGGGATGGGGCGCTATTGCTGATATTCCTTTGTGTACAAACGAGGTCTGAAGGCGAAACCTACGCAAATTATCTTCTGAAAGTGAGAACTGTTGTTTGGATCTAAATTCAGGCTTCTGGTCCTGGCAGAAAAAAACTTCAAAAAAGCCTTTTGTGTGGCAAAATACGAGTCGATGAAAACATAAAGAGGATTTTAGGTGGAATAAGACGCAACCAATTATCTACAAAGAGAATATATGTGGAAAAGTTGTATTAGTGCATTGGAGCGTAAAAAATTAGCTCAAAGTAATCTTTCTTGTTTACAACACACAAAGTGCTCGAGATTCGTTTTGTTCAAAAGTCAAAAGAAAACACCATCGCAATTCTCTCAATGGTTAGCTACCTTGCCAAAAACACCACCGTCTAAATGAAAACATCGAAACGACTAGTAAATACAAAGGTTGTAGCATAAATTCGGGAAAAATGCCTTTTGGCGAAAGAATTGTTATCTCGTGGTGTTTACATTGAACAAAAAAATCTGGTAGTTGTGGTTTTCTGCATTGTTTAAATATTTTAAAATTTGAAAAAGCGGCTCACGTTGGTCGCGTAGCTACACCGTAGGCTTTTCCGCCGACCTGAAAACAAGCGACGTTTAAATCGGAAAAAATATGAGAGAAATGTCCGAAATGAAGTGGACGTAATTGATGGATCCGTCGCACGGATTATTTCTGCTCAAGATAGAAACTTTCTCAAGTTGTCGAAGTTCCTAAGTAATCCTCTCTTGGCTTGCTTAGAAAGTGTTGAATGAACACATGACTTTTCAGGTGTCGTTAGGCTTTCTGTTCTCTTCGTCTCCCTGGCGAATACCAACTTACCGGTTTTGGTATTTGAATGTCACACATTATTACCTTTTAAACAACTTCGTAAGTCGGTTAAATATATCTCGTTGCTCGACCTCAGGTGATTTCGTTGCGGCACAAATTATCAAACAAGGTGAATTAGTCACTTGCAAGGGAACTTTACAGGTGCGCGATATTTTTAATAAAAGATCCCGTGTTTGGAATTTTTAAAAAAACACGGACATCTGTTCGACTTCGGCGCTATTTGCATATATAGAGAACCCTCTGAAAACTCCCTTCTTTTTATTTCTCAAACACGTGGAAATCATGAATCATTACTTTTTTATTATTTCTTCAGTTCGAGCTATAAATTTTACAATTCTCAACGCTACAGATTCCATCGACACCGGACTAAAGCCGACTATTAGTTCAACTCTCGGTACCCATATGCTCACAAAGGCTCCATTTTGAAACAAAAAACCTACAAGAAATCGACCATGTTTTCAAACATTGGCTAGACAGAGTAAATCTGTCAGATATCTGGGTCATCCATTGTCCACCACACAGCACTGTGTTAAATGGAATATAAACAAAACTGTTTTTCTTGTTTTTAGTCTCAAAGAGGTTTTCCAGAACTACTCTCTCGAGGTTCAATACAACTTTGTGTGTTTGAAGAGTTCCTAATTTGCTCTTGTGGTGGGAGTGTTGTAGCGGCTCTCCGGATTCCAAGTGTAAATTTTTTATTTTATAAATACCACAACAGTATTTATTTAGACTTCCAATCAGTCGCCACGTTAAATTACATCATCGTTAAATACGGGACACGATATCGATCACGCGCTATTGACAGCGATGGCTTTGCATTAATAAAAATTTACTAAATCTTGCACACAAATGTTGTGTCGTGTACAAATCAGACAAGAGGGCAGCGGTCGATTCAATTACTTTTTAAAATGACACGACCCGCTAAAAATTAACACGTCCTGGAACAAATTTAAGTGATGTTTCACCACGCGTTAAATATGCATGCACATACAGAATATTTAAATACTAAAATTTGTAAATCGCTAATTTTATCAGACCGTTCGTAGTTAATTAGAATCGAACTTCAAAATCTTGTCTGAAGGAAAGAAAGAGATTTTTCTTGATTTATTAGATTTCTGTATTTACATAGCCGCAACGTAAACAAAAGTTTGTGGTTGTTTGTAATATCTAATACGGATGCTTCAAGTGTTTACTCTGAATAATCTACAAATAAAACTGAATTTCTGCACTGTGTGATATTTGATGCCAAAATATGAGGCAGCCATTTTTACAAATCTTCAAGTGTGATATTGTGTGGTGTTTGAGTCTTTTGCTGTTAGAACAAAGAACGTGCGATACCGCGCTTCGTTGTACCGTATCTCCTATCTCTCTTGCTCTATATCCCATTTAATTTTTTGTGGTCTCAGTGCCAGTTTTAACAAATCGATTCTTGGACTAAGCCGTGGCAAACGTTTGTTCGGAAAAAAATATTTCCTACGCCACAAATAAAGAGATTTAGTTTCGTGCCTTGAACTCTGATACGCATTATACATATTTTATAATAGTACATTGATAATAACACAGTTTTTTTTACCCAAGTACGAAAAAATAGTTGTTCCGGCTAAAATACAATTTATTATAAATTATTTTTGTTGTTGTGTTAATTTTTTTTTGAATGTGCATAATTCATGTTATTAATAACTACTATTGACATATTATGTACTCATGTCTGAATAATTAACTGTTTTATGATTTAAACACCTTTACATTTGATTTGGTTCCATAGAGCGCTTTACCTGAGTGGAATAATTTAATTGTTTGATGTTACTGTTTCACTAATTGATTAAAGTTCTATAATTTTGCCAAACAATGAGTGAGTTTTTAGTAAAATTGAATCGACATAGTATTTTAAAACTACACGCTGTCGAATAATTAACTAAATTCCCGGCCTGCCCTATTGTCTATTCAGTTCCACCAGGCATCACCAGCTCAAGATTTTATTGTTATTAGAGGCCTTATCTACGTAAATTGGTGTCGTGGGATCTGTAGTTCTGCATCAGCTAAATTATTGATTACTTTACAAAGTCTCTATAGCATGACGTTTGACTCTTAGCGTTAGACCGATAAATCGAATATCGCTTCTTTGTTCGTCTCGTTTTTATCGCAGCCATAAACGTCGAAACTCGCGACTGTATCAAACCCGATTGCGTATCGGTTGTCAAAAGCGCGGTTTAATTAACTTCGAACTATTCCGCTAGAGCGCAAAAAATTGCGGCAATTGCGGCTTGTTTATTTTTGCGAAAACCTGCTAGCCGTTATTAGCTGTTGACCACAGCGCGTACGCTGTATACATATTTGAAATTCGCAATATAGCACACAATGCTTCTTTGCATGGTCTCGACGAGGTCGTTCAGCTCCGGCCGCAACCCCAATATTGCGGTCGAATTTAAGGCCTAAAAAATTTATTGTAAGGCGCACAATGTTCCTGAGCTATGTGCAGCTTTCTACAAAAGATCGCAAGTTAATTGGAAATTTATGCATACGTGCAGTTTTCTGACTCGTGAATCTCGACAAAATCCACGTTAAACAATCTCCGCTGCGCTAAACGAGATTTGTTACTTATTGCACCGCAAGACGAACTTAAAAGACAGATGCGACGGCGTGCGTTGAATAAACCCATCACTCGTCTGGTGCTGACTTGACGTCGAATCTCTTTCGTAAGTTTTCACCGTTAACGGTAGTATGTAGTGGGGCTTCTGGTTCACTGTTTGGCCAAAAGTGAAACAGACGCTGAAAGCAAATGCCGCTTTTTCTCGATTCTGGACCGTTTGTGTTATTTTAGTATTCGTTGTTGCGTTCCGCAAACAAATCGTTATTATTGTGTCGAATTATGCATTCCGTTGTATACAAATTCTAAGAAAACGCTTTTTAATAATTTACATCCGTTTGAATTGGGAACGCGTTTCGTGCTAAATATTTAACAATAACTGAGCACTTTTGGGCAGGTTACGCTGGAAAAACGTGCGAGGAACAAACGAACCCTTGTACGTCGATGCCCTGTCAGAACGGAGCGACGTGCTCTGGGAACGTCACCCAGTTTAAATGCGACTGCCTTACGGGATTTTCGGGAATACTCTGCCAACACAGCCACAACGACTGCGAATCCTCACCTTGCGTCCACGGGATATGCGTCGATCAAGAGGACGGATATAAATGCTTCTGCCAACCTGGTGAGTATTTGCCCTCTTATCAGGATTACAAAAGTCAAAGAGCCATCACCACCAACACGTCGGCCGGTTCTTGCACCTCATACATTCGCTTAGGAAAATTCTCGAAGTCTCCGTAACGGTAAGTGAAAAATGGGCTTTAGCTACTTTCATTTAGAAACATTCCAATTCCACGACAGTTGTAAGTTCTAGAGCTTTATTTATACTAATCGGCACAGAATGACTCTTGTGGAGGTATCGTTCGCAATTTTTCACTATTAACGTTGAATGATTCGTGGTGGAATGGGCGTGTCTAGAAAAATCGCATCTTGTATCAGTTGTGTAATTACTGTTGAATGATTTTTTGCAGAATGGCCACCCTTTGTGCGAGTTATGATTTACAACATTCTAAATTCGCTCTATAATTCACGTGTTGTCTGCCAAAGTTTGAACTGTTCAAAGTATTTTAATTAGTAATTCTGAGTGTGGTTTTTGAAGTTCGTTCATATAATGCTCGTATTCGCCGAGGTGGTTTTTTTGTGCGGTTTTATGTGGATTATAACAAACTTGTCGCAATTTAAACAAATTGATTGTGTTGTGAGATGTTTTAGCGTGCCCTCTGGACATGTGAAATGCCGGTGGAATTTCATTTTTTCGCGTGGCGACATTTCCCGAGATTTCGTGGAGCGCCATACAAATTTGCTTATTTAAAAACGTGTACGTTGAATGCGGGATTATTTGGTTTGTGCGTTTTATCTGGAAGTTGTTAACGAAGGTATTAATGATAATGAGAAAAGAGATCGTAAGAAAATTTGGATGGCGCGCCGACATTCCTGAGTTGTAAGCTGAAAGCTTTAATTTTGTTGAATTACTTACATTTGAATTTTTATGAGCTGTGTAAAGTACGGTTGAGCTCGATGGGCCCTGTATTTTTACAGCTGATTTTGTTATTCAATTATGGCGAAATTAAGTACAAATTACTTTTCGAGTTTAACTTCAAAAGCTGTTTTCACTCGAGAGAAGTGTAGGAATGCGTCCGATGTAGAAAGTACTTTATTAATTTAGCGTTAGATCCTTTCAGTACCCCCGAATGGAGGAAGTTTGTTGGCGATTTTTGCTTGATCAGTCAAACCTATCTAAATCGATTTTCCTAACAATTTAGCTTTAATAGTAAACGTCTTTTATTGTCGAATTTCTCCTAGACCGTTATTTAATTTCATTAAAGGAAATTGTGTGCAATTTAGATTATCTTTACAAGAGGAAATAGAGGGAACAAAATAAATCGAGGGCGTTAACGGGAGGATAGGGATATTATGTTATAATGTCGATTGATAGGGGGTGGTTTTCAGCTCAGATACGATTTTTTTCGCTTAATCTCGACTCGGTTAATTATTAAATTACTGGATAGGGGATCCGAAACTGTTTTCATTTTCTCGTTTTTTTAAATGACACACTTCTCCACTCGGAGAATTACACCATTATCGCTTTTCAGCCCCTCACAAAACAAACCAACAATTTTATTCCCATGCGTTCTAAAATTGTGTCAGCGGACACAATAGTTTAAAATCCCCAGCATTGACGTATTTGAAATTGGAACAAATAACACTTGAAAAGCTAAGGGAAATGTCAACACGCTCGAATTTTTATTTGTCATTTATTATGTTTCAGATGAAACCTTATTGAAAACATATTTTTAGCATCAACTTGCTGAAAAGATAAAAAGTTTGTTATTGAAAACTAGCTTATACAAGTCTTTGGAATATTGCAAGCTAAACACATCCCGAAAGCAACTTATTTTTTAATCTTGACGATGTAGATATATATGTAGAAATTGTTGAGTTTTGTTCTCCTTCGGCAAACTCATCACTAGTAAATTATCAGGATCGCAAAACGTTCCTTTTGACCTATAAGACAATTTTATACTCGACTAGAATTTCGATCCGGGCTTTAGACACAGACAATCAAATTTAAACAACTGAGGAAATTCAATTTAAAAAATATAAAGGATTTCGCGCAGGATTTTACCTTAGTTTTAAGAATCCTTTACAGCTAAATAATTAACCGCTGCTTTGCTATCGAGCCACGTTTAAACAACGTTTAATATTGCTTAATTAATTTTACATTATGTACAATCGCCAAATACTTACGCCGCTTCAAGCTATAAAAAAATTTTTAATTTAAGAAAAACTTCTTAAAATATGTCGTTCCCACGTTGATCTACTAAATCGTCACGCTGAAACGTCGTGCTAACGTCTGTTCGACGAAACTTCGCCGACTGTCATACAAGAACGCAGTTTTCCCCGTCATAATATTAAAGTTTCTTTAACGCAGTTGTGACGTCACCTGTTTAAAGGAATTCTTCTGAAATCTCTTTGCTAACACGCTGTTGTTACAACCGGAATTCCTGAAATACACTTATTGCAAAATTAGCTCCCCTCCTTGCTCAAAAAAGCAAATAAAATCAAGATGAAGTGACTTCCACTTCTGTATTTTGTAATCTAAATGAATTTCGTTAGAGATACGAAAGTTGCTTCATTTCAAACGCGGCCTTTTGTCTTTGCTGAAGTTAAGCTCATTTTAAATGAAAACGTCTCTGTTAGTTGGCTAGTTGTCAAACTTCTCAAGTATTTTTAGCGCTGTTGGAACTAACTAATTAAGTTTGTTTCGGGGTTCTGCATCAGCTAAAATATTTAATATTGCAGTGTGCACTCAATGCGGGCTAGAGAAAATACTGTCACTTGTAAAGTTTCTGGTCCATACATCGATTTTGCTAAGTTCTTTTTGTCGAACAGGTCTAGATTGACTGATATTTTGAGGTTATGTCTAAAATAAATTCCAGAACTTTTTTTAACATAGATAAAGAGAAGAGGTTGCTTTAAATTTGTTATCCCATCACAATGCGGATTGTGGATGTTTTTGTAGTTGCATTTTTGGTATTTTTAGTGGAGAAAGTGTGTTCACGCAGCGTAGTAGCAGTTCTAGTCATCTTGACGTGTTTGTCAGTATTTAATAAAGTGGGGAGGAGCGTGGGAAGACAAAGGCTTAAATTGTTTCGAACGCGAAGCGTAATAACATGTTAATGCCGATCAGACGGGAGGAAAATTGGGGTAACATTGCATTGTGCATTGTAATAAACAAGTATTAGAATGTAGTATGGTTGGGCAGGGTTCATAATGAAGTTTATTCCCTTCAGATTGCCTTTTATATCACATTAGCTCCAGACATTATGGTAATTCGGTGCGACTAGACGCGGTTGCGAGTGCAATATTCGAAAGTTTGCTAGGAACGACTAAACCGACTAATTAAGAAGTGGAAAAGGAAAATCAGGTTTTGGTTGATTAATTCGAATAATTGTTCCAGGATTTACTGGGACTCACTGCGAGTACGAATATAATGAATGCGAGTCGTCTCCATGTACAAATGGGGGCACTTGCACCGATCACGTTGGACGCTTTACATGTTCTTGTGGGCGCGGGTTTACGGGAAAGAGATGCCAAATCAAGGTAGGGATGAATTTGATTGAAATCTCAATTAAACAAACTCCACTGGGAAATGAGTGTTATTAAATATGAAATTCTATCAGGTGGACTTGTGCGAGCCCAACCCTTGTCCCGAGCCCCGTTACTGCGTGGACCATGGTAATAACTACTCCTGCGAGTGTCCCAAAGGGTATTCGGGTCCCGATTGTTTAATTCCGTCGCGTGCGGTAAGTTCCCGTCGCAAAATTTTAACTCAAACTTATTCCGGCGACACATTCAGGCTTGCAGCACCAATCCCTGCACCAACGGCGGGACTTGCTGGAGCAACATGGACTCCTATTATTGCGCTTGTAAACCGGGCTACACGGGCAAAACTTGCGAAGGTTATTAACTTAACCCCAAGAACATCAGATATTAAAATAAATACTCTTTCCAGATGAGTTTGTTGTTGAAACAATAACGAACGTTGATACAATCAACAAGGAGAATGAACTGGATCTTCAAATGCCGATCTCTATTCATCTTGATCATCTGCATAATGTTTATATCGCCGCCGGAACGCTAGCCTGTGCTTTTGTCATCGTGGCACTTATCGTAAGTATCGAACCAATGGCGGCCCGTACAACTATAGCTATGTTCTAACGACATCGTTAACGCCGACATAACAGTAACACTAACGCTTCAAACTTCATATGTAACGCAATCTATCGCACTAACGCGCTCCTGTCACATAACCAATTTAAAATCACTACACAAGCTGCAACCGGCATTTTGCTCAAGCTTAAATTACAAACGCGAGGATCACCGGGAAAAACCCGCTTAATTTAGAAGAGCCGGATTCGGGAGGATGGTCGTTCGCGCATTTTAGACCAAAAACGCTGGATTCCTTCTACCGCGTCTAAACTTTCTTCATCAGTTTGTTCACTATTCTCATTTGTATATTTATTCGTTGTCGCCCGATCAAAGTGCACCTAAACTTGTTAGTTCACAAGAGCACTTCCGAACTTCCGTGTATATAGATCGACAAAATTGTTTGCTTGCGTTTATTTGCATTTATTCGGTTACAAGAATTCCTATTCGCAAGTTTGTTTACATTTACCTTAGTATACACCTTAACTGTATTACATTTCGCGACTATTTACAATTAATGTACATAGATCGCCCAGATTTACGGTGTTTGTTTGGGTTCGTCGTGTTTCCGTGTTACAAAGGTTAAACGAACAAAAACAGCCAACTAAGTTTACGGTCGCGTTTTTGCATATGGGTGAAGATTTGTTTCGATAGTTCGCACTTAACAATATCTACTGTACCAAAGGAGCCTGCCTGCAAATTTCAACCTATAGATTGACGTGATATTTTTTGTCATATTTTTAGATGTTCGCTTATGCTCGCGTTTGTTTGTTTTGCGGATTTATATTGGAATCCTTGATGGGTTTTAGGAGTTCCGCATATGATTTTGGTCGGTTTATAAGTTTTCGGGGTCGGAAAAAAAGGATGTAAATTGATGGGTAGTTTTGAAGTGCCATTTCGCATGGTGGTTTTGATTCGCGGCGTCTGCTCGTTTTTGCGGCGAACGCGTCGATCACGTTCTGTTGCGTTTGTTCGCGTGTCGAGCCGGCGCTGCGAGTTTTTTCGCGCACTTCTTGCCGGCGGGCGGCTTGTCGTAAATAAATGAAATGATAAATTTCCGCCATCTAAAGAAATATTACACATTAATCTGTCCGTGTAGGTGACAGTTTGCCACTGCCGGGTGAACAAAACGTATAAACGTTTTATTTTGCGGGCGTATCCGTTGTGGGGATGCAAGAGGAGACCGTCCCAGCCGTCGACCTCTACCAATAGGTGAGTGTGCCACTCTAACGACCCTTCATTCCCTGTAATTAGCACTAAATGAAGCTCATGTCACAACCACATAAATCACCACCCTCCAATACACTCGTCAAAATAATGATCGAACTCTATTCACGCCAGAATTTAAATTTCGCATGTGGAGAGAGCGAGAGGGCGCGGCGGTCGCGGGGAAGTCGTACACTTGGCGACATCTATCAGGGACGCTATTTCCTTACACGATGTAATCTGTTCGGAAAAGCGTTTCAATGCAGTCATTTTTTCGCATGGATTGATTTTTCCTTTTCCGCTAGCGAATGGTTCAGCGGGAAGGACAAAGCTCCGACTGCAACTCCCAGCCGCAGTTTACCTTCACTGGATACGACGGACATGTACTACACTTTAGATTTCAGCGAGAGTCAGAGTTCGCCACTGATCCAATAAACGAGAGCGCAATCGGCATATACTTGTAGATTTTGTAAGCCGTTTCAAACAGGTTGATTTCAATCAATTCAATCACTTCAGTGTTATTTGTGTTCTTCGTCTAGCTTTTTTGTGTCATCATCGCTGCATTGATTGTTACCCTGACGCACCAACAAACTTATTGTCGTTTCTATTTCTTCGTTCATATGTGTACATAAACTAACCGTATAACACTACAAGGTAAAGATAAGAAAACGAATTTTTGTGAATCTCAGTTGTTAAATTCAGTCAAGTCGGTTTACAAAGGAAAAGCTCGAAACCTCCCCTGGCTCGACCTTTTCCATTCTGTTTTGAATTGACTTTTTGAACCGGGGCCGAAAATAGCCCCGCACGATGTTATTGTTTAAACAAAAAATTGCTCAAAGTGCTTTGCAAAATTTTGATAGTAGTTGTTGAGCAATTATAAATATATACACAAAACAGTAATTGTTAGAATTTGAAGTGTGCTCAACATAGCGTAACGAACATATAACTGTATATTTGCGCATGTGGCAAATATTCAAAAAGTCAGGTAGCGAAACTACGAAATCCAGTTGATGTTTTTCTTTAAAGATGTGCTTAAAACTGGATTGCAGCTGATTCAAGAACCGAAATTGTGTAAAGTACCCCAGCCTAACGTACCCATGTGCCAAACGTGTAGAATGTATGTAGTAGGTACCATCTGTATCTCACTTTATCGTATAAATGGGGCTTTAAATTAATCGGAAAATTGTTACTGTAAATAAAACTTATTATGTAGATGTTTCTACTTTCCACAGTGCAATGGCCATTCCATCCATATAATCGATCACTTGTTCATCACCAAATTTATCTGTTTTTAAAAACATATGATATTGGAAATTTCTTGTTTCTAATAAAGTATGTTCAAAAAGGCGTGCGTTTTATTAAACCCGATCCAAGCAAATCTATCGACTGGTTCTTCTCGCTTTAAAAAAATCCCCATAAAAAGATGATAGCGTTCGTATTGCCAGTTTTATGCTGTCTTTGTATGCTCGTCTGTCGTAAAACTGTGCCACCGAAATGTATCGACCACCCTCAGGTAATAAATAAAATTATATCGGACATTCTCGCTTGACCAATTTTTTTCATTAGGTAAACATGTTTTTAAAATACGGGTCGCCGATGGTGATGCCGATTATATAGAGATAGAAATGGACTCTCGTGACTTGTCTTATAGAACGTTAATGGAAAGATGCTGTCTTGAATTGAATATTGATGGGACTCAAATTGACAGAATAAGGAAAATGCCTGATGTCAGGGTGCGTTCTGATGAGGATGTTGGAAGATTTAATGCATTCGAGGCCTTCGAAATCTGCCTTAAGAACATAAACCGATCATGAAGTTATTTATTTCAAGCGAATTTACATAACTTGTGTATTTATTTCCCCAATAAATTCTTTATTATAGCACGTATTGCTTGTAATCGTTCAGACTGTTCACGAACACCTTCTCTATAGTCGTCGGCCCATCTAAAACAAACTCATTTCACCCAAAAGTCGATTTTTTTAAAATGGACTATACCAATAGGAAACCATTTTGCGTTAGTCGACGCAGCATCCAATCTCGCCGATGCTAGAGCATTCCTGATCGCTAGTGGAACCACTATCGACAAACATAAAGGAGGTTCCGCAGTAGCTGTTGAATAGAAAATTTCGAAAAGAAATAAAAATAAGTCCATTTGGCAATAACGAAAGCAGAGATAACCGTTACGTGCACGAGTAATGGCCACTTTAGCCTTGGGCACACTACGGATATTTCAGTCTGATTTCGCCCGGTCACTCCTTTACCAATAGGACATATTGATTAGATATCAAACGCCAAAGGACACGTATTGTCAAGATAGCCATCACATAAATATTTCACGATTTATTGCAGTGGCTCTCTTATCCCTTTGTGTTTGTACGTACACAACGTCGGAAGCGATAATTACCCTTAGAATATAGCACGCCCACTGGGTTTGGATTATTTTTCTTTAACTGGACCCTAAAATCGACTGGAATATCCTTAGCACCCGGCGGACGGTAATTCCAAGTCCTGTCCGTCAATATTTTCCCTTCATAATTGTAAACAATTTCTTCAGTCGTGTAGTAACCTAATCCCATTATAAAAGCACCTTCGACTTGGCCAATATCAACTAAAGGACTCATAGATCGACCCACATCTTCTAGTAAATCGACTCTGTTAACGATGTGTTGGCCGGTGAGTATATCTATTATAACTTCACAAGCACAAACTCCATAAATCGGATACTCGTTAACATTGGGCTCTTTTGGTGAAAACCTAAAAGTCGCATTATTTTAAGAATCTAATTACGCAAAAATACTTAATTACATTCCGATTGCCGCCAAATTAACAAAATTCTCGTGACAAGCTGTTATCCAGTCGGGCCAAGTCCCGTTGGGATTTTTGTCTTTGTATGGTTGAATACGCGCGATTAGTTGGTCACAAGCTTGAATTACTCCCTATAACCACGGTTAGATTTGTTTTCTATACATGTACAAATTCTTACATAGCAGACGGCTTCAGAAGTTACGCTGCCACCAGTTACCACGTTATTTGGACAAGTGAAACTGTTACTCGGAAGGACGGCTACGAAATTTAAGTCGATGCCAAATTTGTATGCGCACACTTGGGCTGCCTGAAAAGTTTGACGTTTATAGACATATTAAAAAATATATTTATTACTTTGGTGTTAATGCCTTGACCCATCTCAATTCCTCCGTGAGATATTTGAACTGTTCCGTCGCCATGAAAAATAGAAACCATAACCGAAAAAGGTCCCGATGCTCCTAAATTGTAAGTCATGTTAACCATAGCTAACCCTTTTTTCTTCCATCGATTCTCCTAGAAATACCGAATGAAAACAACGTTTTTAAAAATTGAACCTCACCTGATTGAAGGTTTCTATATCAGCTTTCCTTGTATCTATATCCGCCCACGTTTTCAATTCATCAATGTATGTTGAAATTGGGGTTTGTTGAAAGTTTGCCTTTTTCAGTTCTATGGGATCCATCCCAAGTTCTACCGCACAGTGTTCCATTATGGCTTCAATTGAACCAACACCTTCCGTACTACCTGGAGCACGAGCCCACGTGTTGTTATGTGTATCAGTGACCGCTACTTTCATGTGTATTTCAAAAGTATCGTTAACGTAACTACCCAAGAAATCGTTTAGAATTTCGCCATACGGAATTTCGTTAATACTGGCTCCCAGATCCGAATAGTGGGTGCATGTCAGATATTGAATGACCCCTTGGTCGTTAAGCCCGACTTCGTAATCCGACGAAAACGGAAACCGTTTTCCAATTGCTTGCACATTATCCGAGAACGACAAATTCACCTTTACCGGTCTTCGCAGCTTCCAGGCTGCTAGGGCTGTCGCACATGAAACCAACCCATTGCGGCTAATTTTAGCACCAAAACCGCCCCCCAATCTCCGAACACTAACTTGGATTTTGTTATTGGGGATTTGAAGCATTTTGGCAACGGCAATCTGGATTTGGTCCATCCATTGCGTTGACGGAAAAATATCCATACCGTTTTCGTTTGGTACGACGCTGCAGCACTGCTGCTCCAAGTGGAAGTGGTACTGATGATAAATATCAAAAGTACCCTTTACAACGTGCGTGATATCCGTGCCTTTTCTTGTGGGTTCGATCGTCCGTATTTCCTGAATCCTGTCTGTGCGATCTGCTTGTAAAACTTGACGTATCGAAAGCAAAGGGCCTACTGTAGGAGGATCGTAAGTGGCTTCTACCAAACTGGATGCCGTTCGTAGAATGGCTTCGGATTCTCCGACTAAAATCCCGATAGGTTGGTGATGATAGTGCACACGTCCCGAGCAAAAAATTTCTTCAGCTTGTTGGAAAAATAGTTCCAAGGGAGTGAAGTTGTTGTCGCCTGGAATATCGTCTTTGCTGTAGAATGCGACAACGCCTTCAACTTCCTGCAACGAGAGGATCAATTGCGAGTTTAAACCGTCGTAGACTTACCAAAGCTTTGCTAGCGTCAATGCTTTTGAGCGTGGAGTTTGGCGGAGCATCGGCTAGAATAAGCGTGCCGAAGAGCTGATGGGGAGAATCAGGTAAGTCGCTGACATATTGAGCCTGACCTAAGAAAATATATAATTGACTTAGATGTTACAAATGAGTGATTTAGTACCAGAAGTTTGGGCAAGAGCTTCAATTTTAGGTATTGCTTGTGTTAAGGGGTAGAGAGAGGCGTTGGTTTCATAATCTTGTACACCTGTAGATATGGGTCTCTCTAGCATAGCACCACCGGATTGGTTCTTCGGTGATAATTTATCAGCAGGAGCAATCGCCAGAACTGTCTAAATTTGAAGATTGAAATTTTGGTTGCCGGGACGTCAATACTTACTTTGTAGAAGAGCGCCATTGCCAATTGTTTTCTATAGTCTGGTGATGGATCAGGTGGAATTACATCACATATTAACTCGCTGGATAATGACGTCAACGCTTGTTGTAGAACATTGTCATCAAATAAATCTTTCCCAGCTAACAACGTTTCGGTTGCTGTGGCATGTGTAAAAGTCGGATTTATGTTTCCATAGACGATTGTAGCAGAATCTAGCGTTCCGTTGATGTTGAATTGGAATAAGAATCCTGCGTTTACATTTGCGTGGGTGTTCTGAGCACGCGGCATGATTTTATAACTCACGAACTTGACATTATCCATCAGATAACTCGGAAAAGTGATCGTTTTTAAGACTTTTAAGTTCATGTCTTGGCTTATGAATTCTTCCGGAGACAATTGAGCTTCTTGTCCATCGACACCAACTGAAACAAGCTTCAATCTTGATTGTTAAATAAGAGTTAAAATACTGACCTATAGTAAGCTTGGCTCCAACCGTTTCTAAAATAAGGTAAATATCAGATGGAAAGTCGTGGTTGTCGTGTTTCATGATAAGATTTCCGGCTATTGTTCCAGTCTGAAAACGTGACATGAGCGAGTGGCCAGAAAATTTAATTAAAACTCACATTCCTCACAGGGACGTTTGCAATTAAGTCAATATGATTAGCTAATTCTATGAAGTAAGAAAATTGGGGATTTTCGGCTCCGACTTCGTTGAACACGTCCATAGCGGTGGTTAAAGTGGTATTTGCTCCCAACACGTATGTCTCACCTACGAATTCGCTGACTTTCAACTCGGGGACTGACGTAACATCTATGTAGATATCTACCGAGGCTCTATATGAACTAAATACACCTAGAAACGACTATATGAATACGAGACCTGTTTGTGTGTAGCAATATAAGAATACCCATGGCTGTATTTCCGGCTACTAGTTTGTAAGTCGCCCCTCCTGATGTACTTAACGCAGAAAGCAGATCACTCAAAGAAAAAACCTTTATCCACTGCGCAGCAGCCATTTGGAGATAGAAAGGTTCTTTACCCCTCTTGTCACACTTCGTCGTGCACTTCTTTTCACATTTATCTTTTTTACAAATCTTCAAGTCCTCTATATCGGGATAATGACCAAGTATCTCGGGACTGACATCTGTGCAAAGTGATTTAAAAGCTGAAAGTATTGGTCTGTAACCAGTGCAACGACATATGCTGCCACCAAATGAATTTTCAACATCCTTCATTGTTAGTTTTCCGGATTCGTACAACGCATACATGTTCATCACCATTCCGGGGGAACACATGCCGCATTGCGTTCCATTAAAAGTCGCTAAAGTTTCTTGGACGACATGATAACCGTTGAGGGGGTCCCCGATACCTTCAATCGTATAAATTGTCCATCCATTACAAGATAAAAGAGGGATGAGGCACTGTAAGAAAAGTATTAAAATGACATCAGGAAGGGTTGCATAAATTACCGAATTCACGGCTAAGTAGATGTTTTTTTCAGTGTTCGGGTCGTGCATGTACAACACCACAGTACACGCCCCGCAACCCCCTTCAAAGCATACACCTTTGGTACCTGTTAATTGTAAAGTGTCCCTGATGTAACTGTTCAGGGACGTAGTGGGAGATACGTCGTCGACATTGACTGTAATCGCATTGTTACTTTTGTTATTATTATTATTATTATTATTATTATTATTTTACCCACCGGTGTACTCCTTGTCTTGTATATGGAATTTGATTTGTTGAACCCTAAAAAATCCCATTGAATGCAATCATTAAGCAAACGTAAATACTCACTGTTTTATTTCTGTTGACATTTTTTGTTTTAAACTTAATCCGTTTCTTCTAGCTAGAGATCGGAATTTTCTTCATTGCACGATTAACCGTCACAACATGCAAGTGTGAAAGTAAACAATAGAATGATCACTAAACAAAATAAGCTTGTTTATATAGCGATAATTATTTACATAAATTTGGAAACACTTTACCGATCTTATCTAATCATTATTTTTTGTAAATTTTGTTTACAATCAATTATCCACTCGAGATAAATATTTTTTTGGCACATATTTTAATACTGTTGTAATACCTGAATACATATGTTGCACACAACATTTAAAATAAGTTTCGTTACCAAATCTTATTTAACGTGTTTTTAGAAGTTTCCGTCGTTTTTCCAAAAAATATCTATAAATCTGTATACTTACTAGTTGTTTACCAGAAAGTATTGGAGTGCTGATTGTACTTCCAAAAATAAATGGAACAAAAGCAATTACTACCTCTCCAGTTCACCCTATACAGGCCCCTCTGAGTACTACTTTGAAAAACTCTTATAAATAAGCGGCATGTTGACTTTAAGAAGATAGGGAAATTCAGTACAATCTGCTCTTTAGAAATCCGTTACGAACAACAACAAGATAGAAAGTATATTTATTCGAAGCAAATTTACAAGACATATTGCTTAAAATTATTTAAACTTTCCACGAATACTTTTTCTATAGTTGTGGTTCCATCTGAAACAAAGACTTTTAATCCAAATTCGATTCATTTACAGGTGACATTACTAATAGGAAACCATTTTGCGTTAGTCGACGCAGCATCCACTCTTGCTGACGCTACCGCGTTCCTGATCGCAAGCGGTACAGCTATCGACAGACATAAAGGAGGCTCTGCAGTAGCTGTCAAAACAACACTTCAAAATTAAAATATCGAACCTTTAGATGCACGAATAATGGGCCAACCTTGGACACTCCGGATATTTCGGTTTGATTTCGCTTGATTATTTTTTACAAATAGGAGATACTGATTAGATACCAAAAACCAAAGGACCCGTATTGTCTCGATACTCATCATAGTATCGAGACAATCTCGGCAATTCATACATAAGTTTCACGTTGACCATTAGCACTAGGACCATCCAGAGTGTCAAGATTATGAAATGCTCCCAAGTTGTCATAAAATAGAAAGCGCCGCTTACCTTTAGAATGTAACACGCCCGCCGGATTGGGATTATTTTTTTTTAATCGGACCCTAAAATCAACCGGAATGTCTTTAGCGCCCGGTGGGCGATAATTCCAAGTTCTATCCGTCAAGATTTTCCCTTCGTAGTTGTGAATAATCTCTTCCGTGGTGTAGTAACCCAATCCCATGATAAAAGCACCTTCAATTTGCCCTATATCAACTAGAGGACTCATAGACTGGCCCACATCTTCAAGTAGATCGACCCTGCTAACAATATGTTGACCGGTGAGTATATCCACCAGAACTTCGCAAGCACAGGCTCCGTAAATTTTGTATGCTTGAACATTAGGTTCTTTTGGCGAAAACCTGGAAATCAGGTGTGAGGTACTAAATTACATTCGGGTAAGGTTTACATTCCGATGGCGGATAAATTGACGTAGTCCCCGTGGCAAGCCTTTACCCAATCCTTCCAAGTACCATTGGGTTGTTTGTCTTTGTATGGTTTAATCCTAGCTATTAATGTGTCGCAAGCTTGGATTACGCCCTAGAATCACAGTTAGGTTTTTTTCTTTACGGGAGAAAATTCTTACATAGCAGACGGCTTCAGAAGTGAGGCTTCCGCCGGACACCACGTTATTCGGAGTAGTAAAACTATTACTTGGAATTACGACGACGGAATTTAAATCAATGCCAAGCTTGTACGCGCACACTTGGGCTGCCTAAAATTACGGTCATTCATAAAGGTAATCGAAAAGTGGGTGATTACTTTAGTGTTGATGCCCTGTCCCATTTCGATGCCTCCGTGAGATATCTGGACGGATCCATCACCATGAAGTATAGAGACCAAGACCGAATATGGACCAAAGGGTCCAAAAAAGTAGGTCATAGGTACCACAGACAAACCTTTCTTCTTCCATCGATTCTCCTAGAGACACCAATAAAATCAACAGTTCTAAGAAATCAGTGCTCACCTTGTTGAATGTTAGTATAGACTGTTTTCTCTTATCAATTTCCGCCCATGTTGTTAACTCATCAATATACTCCGAAATCGGGGAATCTTGTGGAAAGTTTGCTTTCCTAAGTTCTATGGGGTCCATATCAAGTTCCATGGCACAGTGTTCCATTATCGCTTCGATCGAGCCCAAAGCTTCAGTACTACCTACAAAGAGATGATATCTTCTACCTTTGAAAAAAGAAAAAGTCTACCTGGAGCTCGTGTCCACGTGTTGTGATGAGTATCAGTATTTACTGACTTCATATCTAGTTTAAAAGTGTCATTAACGTAACTTCCCTTAAAATCTAGAACGATTATTTGGGCAGGATTTTCATTAGAAATGGACCCCAAGTCCGAATAATGGGTGCATGTCATATATTGAATAATCCCTTGATTGTTAAGACCGACTTCATAGTCAGTCGAAAATGGGAATCGTTTTCCAAGTGCATGCATATTATCTGTGAGGGACATATAGACTTTTACCGGTTTGTGTAGTTTCCACGCTGCTAGAGCTGTCGCACAGGACACTAACCCGTTCCGACTAATTTTACCACCAAAGGCACCACCTAGTCTACGTACAGTCACGTTAATTTTATTACTAGGGATTTCAAGCATTTTAGAAACAGCTATTTGGATTTGATCCATCCACTGACTTGAGGGATAAATGTCTATACCGTTTTCGTTCGGTACGACGCTGCAGCATTGCGATTCCATATGAAAGTGGTACTGCTGATAAACGTCAAAAGTCCCCTTAATCACATGTGTGATATCTGTGCCTTTCCTCGTCGGTTGAATTGTTTTTCCATCGTGAATTCGGTCAGTACGACCTTCTTTTAAAATTTGCCGTACTGTAAGTAACGGAGCTACTGTAGGAGGATCGTAGGTTGCTTCAATCAGGCTTATTGCACTTTGTACAACGGCCTGAGAGTTACCAACCAAAATCCCGATTGGTTGGTGATGGTAAAGAACACGCCCCGAACAAAAAATTTCTTCTTCTTCTTTGAAAAAGTCCAAAGGCATGAAGTTATTCTTGCCGGGAATATCGTCTTTGCTATAGAATGCGACAATGCCTTCAATTTCCTAGAACCACAACATGAACTCACAACTTCAAATGTTGTAAACTTACTAGAGCTTTGCTAGCGTCTATATTTTTAATAATGGAGTTTGGAGGGGCATCTGCTAGAATAAGCGTACCGAACAACTGATGAGGAACATCGGGCAAATCGTGAATGTATTGAGCTTGTCCTAAAAATATCATTGATTAAGTGTTACAATTGAGTGATTTAGTACCGGAAGTTTGGGCAAGAGCTTCAATTTTGGGTACCGCTTGCGTCAAGGGGTAGAGAGAGGTGTTGGTTTCGTAGTCTTGTACACCTGTAGATATGGGTCTTTCTAGAATAGGACCACCTGATTGGTTCTTCGGTGATAATTTATCAGCGGGCGCAATACTCAGAACTGCCTAAAACCGGAAGTGCAGTCTTAGTTGTCGGGGTGTCAGTTCTTACCTTATAGAAAAGTGCTACCGCCAGTTGTTTTCTATATTCCGGTGACGGATCAGGTGGAATTAAGTCACATGTTAATTCATCTAATAAAGAGGCAAATGCTTGTTGTAAAACCGCGTTGTCAAACAAATTTTTCCCAGTTAATAATTTTTCAGTTTCTGACGCATGCGCAAAAGTCGGATTTATGTTTCCATAGACTATTCTAGCAGAATCTAGAGTGCCGTTAGTGTTGAATTGGAATAAAAATCCGGCATTTACGTTTGCATGAGTGTTTTGTGCTCGTGGCATAATTTTATAGCTCACGTATTTTACATTATCAACGTTATAACTCGGAAAAACGATAGTTTTTACAACTTTTAACGTCATGTCGTAATTTAAGAAGTCTTTTGGCGACATTTGGACTTCTTGTGCATCAGTATCAGCTTAAACAAAAGTTTTAATATTGTTACTAAATGGTGATTAAAATACTGACTGATTGTTAGTTTTGCTCCCACTGTTTCCAAAATGAGAAAAATGTCGGATGGAAAATGGTGGTTGTCGTGTTTGATCATAAGATTCCCGGCTATTGTTCCAGTCTAAAAATATGGTATGAAACAATAGCCATAAAGTTTTGCTCACTTACATTCCTCACAGGAACGTTAGCAACTAAATCAATATGATTAGCTAATTGTGTGAGATAAGCAAATTGAGGCTTTTCTTTCCCTACTTCGGTGAAGAGTTCCATAGCAATCGCTAAAGATGTATTTGCTCCTAATACATACGTAGTATCAACAAATTCATGAACTTTTAATTCAGGGACAGACATGACATCAACGTAGATATCAGCAGAGCCTCCGTAGGAGCTAAATACTCCTAAAAAGATAATAAGCAAATTTGAGGATTATGTTATCAATAATCCGATAATACCTTGCGCGGTATTTCCTGCGACCAGTTTATAAGACGCCTTGCCTGCCGTTCGCAAAACAGAAAGTAAATCACTTAAAGAGTATACCTTCATCCATCTCGAATCGGCCAGCTGGTGATAGAAAGGTTCTTTATTCGCCCTGTCACACTTTGTCGGGCACTTCTTTTCACATTTATCTTTTTTGCACATCTTCAGGTCCTCTATATCGGGATACTGACCAAGTAACTCAGGACTAGCATCTGTGCACAGCGATTTAAAAGCCGAAAGTATTGGCCTATAACCGGTGCAGCGGCATATATTGCCACCAAACGCGTTTTCGACTTCTTTCATTGTTAATTTTCCTGATTCGTATAACGCGTACATGTTCATCACCATTCCTGGAGAGCACACGCCGCATTGTGTTCCGTTAAAATTCGCTAAAGTTTGCTGGATGACATGGTAACCCTTGACAGGGTCTCCTATTCCTTCAATCGTATAAATTCTCCAGCCATTACAAGACAGGAGAGGGATGAGACACTGCAAGGGAAGAGTTAAAAGGGTCGCAGTGGGAAGTTGTATAATTTACCGAATTTACGGCTAGATAGATATCTTTATCTGTGTTTACATCTTTGCTGTACAATACAACAATGCATGCACCACAACCCCCTTCATGGCACACACCCTTCGTGCCTGTCAGTTGTAACGTTTTCCTGATGTAGGTGTTTAGAGATGTGTTAGGGGTCACTTCCTCCACATTGACTACATGCGGAAATAATTATTACTGTTAGTATTGTAACAATTACACTGTTACGTACCGGTGTATTCCTTGTCTTGCAAGTGGAATTTAATTTGTTGAATTCTAAAAAAAAAGCTATTGTATCTGAATTTTAACTAAACGCAAATCTCACTGTTTTATTTCTGGGGACATTTTTGCAGCTCACTCTTTCTTCAAGGTAGAATATAGAGTTTTCTTCACCGCACGAATTAAACGTCTCGACAGTCATACGAGTGCGAAAGTAAACAGTAAACTGATGAATAATTCTCTGAGCCTTGGTTATATAATGATACTTGTTTGCATGCTTCACACACAATGATAATCATATTCATAATTCACAAATCTGTTAGCAATATTATTCAATAAAATGTTTCTTTATGAAGTTTGTTATATCATCCACACGGAATGATTGGTTTTTCCAAAATATTTAACAACACTGCAAGACAATCCTTATATACTCTTCTTCAGAAACGAATTGGATGACTCGCAACTATTTTAATGCCAAGGTTTATTTTTATTCATTTTTAAAGGTCATCGTTATTATTTAAGAATTTGCTTTTTAATTGTGTTTTAGATTTGTCTTGAGATTTTGTCAGTTTACTTTTTAATAAAAATAATAATAATAAAACAAACATTGCTTCACTGCCTCCAATTCATCTAGGTGAAGTACCGATTTATACAACTCTAGTAAGCAGGATGCTCGGATTAGAACAAAATTAGCATCAATTTTCTCGTCAGAGCCGCTGAAGATAAATTCATTTGATTTGAAGCGCAGATTCATTTAAACACAATCCGTGTAACCAAACCTTTATTTTGTAATTATGTTTAGATGACAGAAACTTTTACAACGATAAACGGAGAAATTTACACTGAGATAAACTTGTTTGCCTTATCTTCATACAATAACGTACTATTTTTCACAAGGTATAGTGCGTATGGTCATTCAAACAGTTTAAAAACACATTTTCCACGGTTGTAGGTCCATCTGTAAACACAACAGTACCAAAGTACCAAATCCGTTGTTTAAGAAGACCTTACCAATTGGGTACCACAAGTCCGACGTTCCTGCGTCAGCCCTCGCCGACGCTACGGCGTGTCGTATCGCTAAAGGAACAGCCACTGCTAAACAAACCGCGGGTTCTCCCGTTGCTGTCAAAAGTACCATTAGATACTTATAACAAAAACCTGCAACGTACCTTTCGATTTTAAAACTCCCACAGGATTAGGGTTGTTCTTAGGGAACTTCACGTTAAAATTAATCGGTATGTCTCTAGCGCCTGGGGGATGGTAAGTCCATGTGTTATTCGTCAAAAGTTTGCCTTCGTAATTGTAAACGATTTGTTCCGTCGTGTAGTAGCCCATTCCCATCACAAACGCCCCTTCGACTTGCCCAATGTCGATTTCGGGACTCATGGATTCACCAGTGTCTTCTATTAAATCGACTCTGGTGACTAAATATTGACCCGTCAATACATCAAGAAGTACCTCAGCAGCGCAGACACCGTAGACTTGGTAGGTTTGGACGTTGGGTTCGTTTGGAGAGTACCTAAGAGGGATTCGGTGATCTTAGATTGTTAGTCGTGGGTACTTACTGTCCCCTAGCTGTCAAATCTATAAATTCTTCAAAACATTTCTGAATTAGCTGTTCCCAGGTTGGATTTCCTAATCTATCGCGGACAGGTTTTATTCGTGCTAATAACTGATCGCAAGCTTGAATGGTACCCTGGAAATTTCTACAGTGGGACTAAATTTTTAGAATTATAAGACATACATAACACACAGCTTCTGACGTTATGCTACTACCAGTTTGCGTAGAGTTTGCTGCCACGAAACTACTGCTAGGTACTACGGAGACTTTTTCCATTGGTATTCCAAGTTTGTACGCACACACTTGAATGACCTAAAAGTCCCCTATTATGTTAGTTTTGTCATAAAGTTTATTTACTTTAGTGTTAATTCCTTGGCCAATTTCCACCCCTCCATGCGAAATTTGTACGCTACCATCTCCATGGAAAATCGAAACCATGGCTGCATACGGACCACCTATGGCTAATTCGTATGCCATGGGTACCGCCGCTATACCTTTCTTTTTCCATCGATTTTCCTAAAATTGCACCATTTAGACTATTATTACATTATTTATATCTAAACCTTATTAAAATCCGTTATCTCTTGTTTCCTCGTATCTACGTTGGCCCATGTTCTCAGTTCATTGACATATTTAGCAAGCGGTGTATCAGTCCTGAGATTACGAAGTCGTAACTCTATTGGATCGACATTCAAACTAATCGCAATATGTTCTATTATAGACTCAATAGCAGCCAATCCTTCTAACGTCCCTAAAACCAACTATGTAAAAAAGACAAAAAATTGATAGTCGTACCTGGAGCTCTGGCAAAGGTGTTAGTAGGTGTATCAGTAATTGTCTTGTTTACATCAATCGTAAATGTATCCGGGACATAACTCGCGCTAAAAAAATTCACAACTTCGTTGGAAATGTCTTCGTTTCTTTGGGCTCCTACGTCCGTATAATGGCGACAGTTAAGATACTGGATAATCCCACTATTATTAACTCCTACTTCATAATCAGTCGAAAGTGGAAATCGTTTTCCAATAGCAGCCATATTGGTTTTTAACGGCAAAGATAACTTGACGGGTTTCCGCAACTTCCACGAAGCTAAGGCTGCCGCGCAGGCCACAAGGCCATTTCTAGTGATTTTGGCCCCAAATGCCCCTCCACATCGTCGAATAGTCACATTTATTTTGTTATTTGGAATTTTCAACATGTTGGCTATGGCTACTTGAGTCAAATCCATCCACTGAGATGATGGGTAAACGTTCAGTCCATCTTCGGTTGGTATAACATTGCAACATTGCAGCTCCATGTGGAAGTGGTACTGTTGATAAATGTCAAAAGTACCTTTTAGTACATGTTGAACATCATTGCCTTTTCGTTTTGGTTGCACCGTTCTAACGTGGATAACTCTATCCGTACGACCTGATTTTAAAATCTGTCGAGTTGAAAGCATAGGTTCTACGTTAGATTCGTCATAGATTAGCTCTATTAAATTGATAGCGTATTGAACGACGTCTTCTCGGTACCCTACTAAAATTCCAATGGGTTGTTCGTAGTACATGACTCTACCGCTACAAAATATTTCTTCTTTGGCGTTAATGTAAGATAACCCTAAAGGAGTAAAATTGTTGTCTCCTGGGATGTCAGCTTTGCTGAAAAAAGCAACAATTCCTTCCATTTCCTAGAATGCGTAAATTTATAAATAATTTAGAAAGAAGACAAACAAGTACCAAAGCCTTCTTGGTGTCAATGCGAATGATTTTGGAATTTGGTGGAGCGTGGGCTAGAACTAAGGCTCCATGTAACTGGTTGTGTAAATCTGGCATATCCTCGATGTATTCTGCTTGCCCTAGAATTAAATTATCAGACTGAGATTCTATGTGAGACTAATACTACCACTACCGCTTGTTTGAGCCAAAGCTTCAAGTTTTGGTATTGGTTTAGTTAAAGGGTATAAAGATTTATTGCTTTCATAATCTTGAGTCCCTTTAGAAATCGGTCTTTGTAAAACAGGACCACCTGATAAATGTCTAGGGGAAAGTAAATGATCCGGGGCAAGAAACAGCACTGCCTAAAATTAAACCCTACAGTCTACATCTCGAATAAAATTTTCATTACCTTGTAGAAAAGCGAGATAGCTAGTTGTTGTCTACATAGCGGAGATGGATCCGGTGGCCTTACATCAGCTTCTAATTCATGTGACAAATTTGCATAAACTGTCTGTAAAGTGTGATTGTCGAATAGATTTGCACCCTGCAAAATTGTTTCGGTACTTGAAGCATGAATAAAAGCTGGGTTTATATTTCCATACACAATAGTTGCTTTATCTAGTACGTAACTTGGATGAAATTGAAATAGAAATCCAGCGTTTACTATAGCATGGACATTTTGAGCCCGTGGCATGATCTACAACCTTCTATGTGTATGACATGCGAAAATCTTTAAAATACTGACTTTGTAGCTCACTAGTTTCACCAGATTTGAATACTCTGGTAGAATAACCTTTAGTAAAATTTTTAGTTTCATTTCGTTCTTAATAAAATCGCTTGGACGCTGAATAGTTTGAGTACCATCAACGCTAACTGGAATCGGTTTTTGGAAAAATTGATCAACTGAGCAATCATTACTCACCTACTGTTAAGAGAGCACCTACGGTTTCCAAAAGGAGAAATACATCGGAAGGGAATTCGTTGTGGTCGTGTTTGATCATTAAATTTCCAGCAAGAGTTGCTCTCTAGAAAACAGGGTTAGAGAAAGAGGGAGAGAGAAAAAAAGGTTACTTACGTTTCGGACAGGTACGTTTGCTATTAAGTCAATATGATCAGCCATTTGGTTTAGATAAGAGAAATTCGGGTAAGTTTTGGCAATATTTTGGAACACTTCAATGGTGTTGGAGAGGGTTATATTTGCCCCCAAAACAAGAGAGTCCCCTTTGAATTCATATAGAGTCAATTCGGGAATTGAAGTGACATCTATGTATAAATCAACGGGGTTAGCGTAAGCTTGATATACCCCTAAAACGTGGTTTTAAAATATACGTTACAACACACAAAGATATACCTTGGGCTGTATTTCCAGCCACCAATCTATAGGTTAGTTTGGTGTAAGATTGCATGGTTTTGAGTAGGTCTTTCAAGGTATGAACCTTAATCCATTTGGATGTGTCTTCGAAAAGGGTATAAGTCGGTACTTTATCAGACTTGTCAGATTGTTCTACACACTCCCACTCACACTTTTCTCTTTGACAAACAACCAAATCCTCTATATCCGGATATTGTCCTAGCAGCTCCGGATTGGCATCTTTACACAAAGACTTAAAAGCTGTAAGAATTGGTCTGTATCCAGTACACCGACAAATATTGCCACCAAATGAATTTTCGACATCTTGCATTGTAAGTTTCCCCGATTCGTATAACGCATACATGTTCATAACCATTCCCGGTGAGCAAAAACCACATTGTGTACCATTAAAATTAGCCAAAACTTTTTGGACTGGGTGGTAACCAACCAAAGGGTCACCGATGCCTTCAACAGTATAAATCTTCCACCCATTACACGACAATATAGGTACCAAACACTGAAAGGACACCATTACAAAAACGAATTTTTTAATATAGTCTTTATACCGAATTCACAGCTAAAAATATTTTCTTTTGTGTAACAGGATCTTTGTTTTGTAAAACAACCACGCAAGACCCACATCCACCTTCACGGCACATTACTTTCGTTCCGGTCAAGTGGAGATGATTTCGTAAATAAAAATTTAAACTCGTATTTGGATCAATGTCTTCGGTTTTAACTAAAACGTACGTTAATTTTGTCTCCTTTTTCGTTAAAAGTACTTACCGACATGTTCTTGGTCTTGTACGTGAAAACGAATTTCCTTTAAACTAAAATTGACACGACTGATTTAGTGAGCAAATTTTGTAATACGTACTTTTTGATTTTTGTGGATTGTGGATTTTCTTCATTTAGAGAAGATTGGGTAGTACCCATTCTCGTAAAAAGATTTCACTACCGTTATAAATTTCGTCGGTATGTACCGCTCTCGAATCGGTAGCTATATTAATAAAACCTTTCTCTAATACCGAGCTGCTGAGAAATTTGAGTTTGCGGTATTTAGATCAGTACCGGGGGCTATGTTGCATTAGCGAAAAACCGGTTTTGTTTCCCGTAATTTGTTTATTTATTTAATATAGTAGGTACAACAATAGTAACGAACACTATAGTATGAACAGTACTTTTTATAAAATATATTGAGAAGGATCATTTAGACTATTCATAAATGCGTTTTCGACATCGGTTACACCATCTGAAAAGAAGAATACATTAAACTGATTCTCATGTGATTGTAAGTACGTACCAACAGGGTACCACTTGGAATTAGAAGCTGACGCATCGACCCTGGCTGAAGCTAACGCATTTCTGATGGCCAAGGCTACCGTGAATCCAAAACATATAGCAGGCTCTCCGGTTCCTGTCAATTTGTATTAGTTACATAAAGGTAAATGGAATCTAGGAGTTACCTTTTGATTGTAGTACACCCACTGGATTCGGATTATTTTTCGGCAACTTTACGTTGAATTTAACTGGTATGTCTTTAGCCCCGGGTACGTAGTAAGTCCAAGTGTTATTCGTAAGTATTTTTCCTTCATAGTTAAAAACGATTTTTTCAGTCGTGAAGTACCCCAAACCCATAATGAAAGCACCCTCAATCTGACCTATGTCAATCTTGGGACTTAAAGAAATTCCAGTGTCTTCAATCAGGTCAACTCGGTTAACTAAATGTTGTCCGGTTAAGATATCAACTTCAACTTCTACAGCACAAGATGCATAGACTGAATATTTTTTCACATTCGGTTCTTTAGGTGAATAGCTACAATTTTTAAAATGCAAAAGGGAAAGTTTTACTAAATTGTGTGTTACATTCCGGTTGCGGTAAGTTTAACGAAGTTTTTTTGACATTGGTTTATAACATCTTCCCATTTTGCACCCTTTGTTCTGTAGGGGCTAATCCGCGCTAACAATTCGTCACAAGCTTGGGCAACTCCCTAAAAATTATGTATGTATAGTAGATGTTAATGTGGATGTCATCATACATAGCAAATGGCGTCCGAAGTGAGACTAGCTGCCGTCGTGTTAGAATTAGCAGACACAAAACTGTTACTCGGAAGTACTCGCACCTTTTCTAGGGGTATACTGAACTTAAAAGCACAAACTTGAGCCGCCTGGAACCAATCATTGTTATTTGAGGCTTCTAAGGTGATGTATGAACATACCTTTGTGTTAATACCTTGCCCTAGTTCAACTCCACTGTGCGAAATTTGTACAGATCCGTCGCTATGCAAAATAGAAACAGTAGATAAATAAGGACCCATTGGGTTCATATCGAAACTAAAAGCATTGACAGCTATTCCTTTTTTCTTCCAACGATTTTCCTATAAAGAAAACATACAAACGAATCGAGACACCCAATTCTCAACCTTATTAAAAGTCAATATTGCAGATTTTCTGTTATCGATGTCAGCCCACGTTTTAAGTTCAGAGAAATATCTAGCAACTGGAGTGCGATCGGATAAATTCAGCAGTCGTACTTGCAAAGGGTCTGCATTAATAGTATAAGCGATGTGATCCATGATGCTTTCTAAAAATCCAAACCCTTCTATGGAACCTTCAATAACATATCTTCACACAAGGGCGCAAACTAGAATACCGGCTTACCGGGACCTCTCATCCAAGTATTCACATGGGTATCTGTCAGTGTGTAATTTATATCAATCAAGAATGTCTCAGACATGTACATCGTCTTTAACATTCCCTCTAACAAAAACGTTGTATCTTCGTCAAACTGATAACCTGTGTCTCTGTATAAACTAGACTTGAGGTACTGAATAACACCTGAGTCATTAACACCGACTTCGTAGTCTGCGGAAAATGGGTACCGCTTACCTATCGCGGACATGTTAGGCTTCAATTCTAACCACATTCTCACAGGTTTTTTTAATTTCCACGCTACTAAAGCAGCAGCACACGCAATTAAAGTTGCTCTAGTTATCTTAGCACCAAAGGCACCGCCACAACGACGAATGATCACTTCAACTCTGTGTTGTGGGATGTTCAACATTTTAGCTATAGCAATTTGTATTACATCCATCCACTGTGTTGATGAGTAAACGACGAGGCCGTCTTCATTTGGTACGACCTGACAACAGTGCGTTTCCATATGGAAGTGGTACTGATGATAGAGATCGACAGTACCCTTTATGACGTGTTTAACGTCATTACCCTTTCTGGAAGGCTGCAATGTTTTATAATACCTAATTCGGTCTTTTCTTCCTTGTTGCAATATCTGACGACTGGTAAGTAACGGCTCTGTATCAGGAAGAACGTAAGTCACTTCAACTAATTTGGCAGCTTCGTTGACAACTTCCCGATTTGTGCCAACGATGATTCCTAGAGGTTGGTCGTAAAATTTGACTGTTCCGTCACAAAATATTTCTTCCTTAGAAGTGATACCATTGATTATTGGAGTGAAGACGTTGTCGCCTGGTATATCATTTTTAGTGAAAAAGGCTGTAACACCGTCGATGCTCTAAAAAACATTTATAAGCAAATTAAAATCTAGAGGTTGATTTGATTGAAGAACCAGTGCTTTGTTGGGGTTAATGGTGTTAATTTCTGAATTTGGAGGAGCTTCGGCTAGAACTAGAGCACCATGCAACTGATACGGTAAGTCGGGTAAATCTATCACGTATTGTGCTATCCCTAGAACGCAGTTTCAGTTTGGACAAAGAAAGTTATTTGTTTTACCAGCAGTCTGAGGAAGGGCTTCAATTTTTGGTATATCCTCAGTAAGAGGGTATAGAGATTCGTTGGTTTGATAGTCTTGAGCCCCCGTAGAAATAGGTCGCTGTAGTACCTGTCCTCCAGATTTATTTCTAGATGATATTTTACCAACGGGAGCGGTACTAAGTATTGCCTAAAATGACACGTCAAATACTTCATATTTTGAATTAAAATTAAAACCTTGTAGAAAAGGGATATTGATAATTGTTGCCTAAATTTCGGGGATGGGTCTGGTGGTCTAACATCGGGCTTGATTTCACTAGCTAGACTTGTGTAAGCTTGTTCAAGAACAGAATTGTCAAATAAGTGTTTTCCTTTTAGTAAATTTTCTGTTGCTGCGGCATGTACAAATTCCAAATTTATGTTTCCATAGATGATGGTGGCGTTCTGTACAACATTGTTGCTGTCAAATTGGAACAAAAAACCCGCGTTGACTAATGCATGAACGTTTTGCGCTCGTGGCATTATCTATAAACAAAATTTTACACAAAGAAAACGAAACATTTATTTTTACTTTATAACTGATATATTTTGCTGTGTCAGGAAACGATTTTAAAGTGACGGTTTTTAGCAACGCCGGTGTTGCTTTCATATCATAGTTGATAAAGCTTTGTGGACTGAGTTGTATTTCAGTTCCGTCTATATCAACTAGAAAAACTAGGTCACATCTGTCACTCATTACATTATTTGCTCTTACCAATTGTAAGAATTGCACCTACAGTCTCCAACACTAGAAAAATATCTGAGGGAAAGTCATGGTGATCGTGCTTTATCATTAAATTTCCAGCGATAGTTCCCCTCTAAAAACACAATGTAACACAAGAAATAAAAAATGATGGGAATTACATTTCGCACTGGGACATTTGCAACTAAGCTAATGTGGTCAGCTACGGCTTCCAAATAAGCAAAACCGGTAAATTTTTTCGCTACTTCGTAAAAAAATTCTATGGTGTTAGTCAGAGTATTGTTTGCTCCTAAAACGCAAACATCATTTTGGGCACTACGTGCTTGTAACTCAGGAACAGCCGTAATGTCTATATACAACAAAACCTTTTCTTTATATGATGGATACACTCCTGGAACATTGTGACAAATGTCATAGAAGGTAATTGTCACTGATTATAATTGTGACAGTTAGGAAGACACGAATATATACCTTGAGCAGTATTTCCTGCTACTAGTCGATAACTTGTGCTGTTGGTGTTTAGTAGAATTATGATATCTTTTATAGTATGTACTTTAATCCAATGGGAATCAAAAAAATCAAGTAGAAATGCTTCATGTGCCACATTGGGACAATTCGTACATTTATTAGCACATTTCTCTTTATAGCAACGAGCAAAATCTTCTATATCTGGACATTCCCCCACTATTTCTGGAGTGGCGTCCGCGCAAAGCGACTTGAATGCTGAGAGGATTGATCTATAACCCGTACAACGGCAAAGATTTCCACTAAATGAGTCTTCAACATCTTTCATGGTTAGTTTTCCAGATTCATATAAAGCGTACATGTTCATCACCATTCCAGGAGAACAAAAACCACACTGAGTACCATTAAACTTTGCTAGTACTTTTTGTATAAGGTGGTACCCTTTAAGAGAATTTCCTATGCCTTCGATCGTAAAAATATTCCACCCATTGCATGACAAAAGTGGAGTTAAACACTAGATAGAGGTGTATTAGTTACGATAGAAACAAAAACAAAAATTGTTACCGAATTGACAGCTAGGTAAATATCTTTGTTGGTGATGGGATCTTTACTTTGCAAGACGACAACACAGGCACCACAACCCCCTTCAAAACACATACCTTTGGTACCGTACATGTTTTGAATATTTCTTAAATATGAGTTTAAACTCATATTGGGAGTAATATTTTCGCTTGTTACTAGATTAATTAATCTCTAATGTGGAAACTTCACTGTTAATTTATTTTTTACTTACCAATATGTTCTTTTCCATGCAAATAGAACTTTACTTCTTGGACTCTGTAAAACATTTAAGTATGCAATTTAGTACCTACGTAAAGTGGTAAGTGTACTTACCTTTTAATCCCACAAAAAGTCTTCTCATTATCTAATGATGACTGAGAAGCTCCCATGTTTCACCTAATACGTTTCATCAATATCACTAATGTTCTATAGTAATAACTAATTATATAGTAAAGACGATTTAAGTATCTGCAGAACTTTGTAAAGGTTATCGTTATTGAATTGAAAATTTAAGCAATATAATAAGCTTTATTTCCTATTTATAGAAAAAATAGTATATATAATAAAAATAGTACATATAATAATAACATGATTAATTGTTTCAATTAGTTATCTATGCATGTATACATATCGGTGCATGAAAAGAACCCAAAGTTCGATAAACATTAATTTACAATAATTATATTATAAAACATATTGAGAAGGATCACTTAAAGTATGGAGCAGCACATTTTCTACATCAGTGGTACCATCTGCAAAAGCAAACTATTATTTACGCAATCACTTAACTTCCTATGCACTTACTAATACGGTACCATGGGGGATTAGATTGATCTGCATCTTTTCGTGCGGAAGCTAGGGCGTTCCTTATTGCCAAAGGTATAGCAATAGCTAAAGTAATAGCAGGTTCTCCAGTACCTGCAATTATAAAAGTGATTATGATTAGATTTATTTCGTACTTCTTATGCACTTGTTTTGCATTTTCGTACCTTTTGACTTGAGAACTCCTACTGGATTTGGGTTATCTTTGGGAAACTTGACGTTAAATTCCACAGGTATATCTTTGGCACCTGGAGGATAATAAGTCCAAGTGTTATTAGTGAGGACTTTTCCTTCGTAACTGAAAACGATTTTTTCAGTGGTTTGGTACCCCAACCCCATTATTAAAGCCCCTTCTGCTTGCCCGACATCTAAAATTGGATTCATGGAAATTCCGGTGTCTTCAGTTAAGTCTACTCTTGTCACTATATGTTGACCGGTCAGAATATCAACGATAACTTCCGCAGCACACACTCCATAAACCCTATAGTTTCCCAAACCTGGCTGACTCGGTGTGTACCTAAAAAACGATTTGAAAAAAGAACAAGAACCTAGGGAAAAAATTACAGTCCACTAGCTTTCAAAACAACAAAATTTTCGTGACTGGTTTTCACTATATCTTCCCATTTCGCACCTTCTGTTCGATAAGGCTTCATCCGTTCTAACAATGTATCGCACGCTTGAACGATTCCCTAAAAAATGCTATAGTCTCAAAAAAAAGTCTAGTTTCACACATACGTATGTCACTCCATCCGTGGCGATGGTTCCACCTGTAGCCAAGTTATTAGGAGAGATGAAATTATGACTTGGCAGAACCGTCACTTTTTCTAACGGAATCCCAAATTTATATGCACAAACTTGCGCAGCCTTAAAGTTTATTATCAAAATCGTGAGTTTATCAATTTGATAAGTTTACTTTGGTATTTATTCCTTGTCCCACTTCAATACCTCCATGAGAGATTTGCACCGAGCCGTCACCATGAAAAATAGAAACCGTTGCCAAGTGAGGTCCAAGAAGTAAAACGTCAAAACTCATAGGAATTACGGCCAGACCTTTCTTTTTCCAACGATTTTCCTAAAACAGTATTTGTGAGGACGTTTTCAGAACGAACAATCACTCAACTTTATTGAAAGTCGCTATATCTGCTTTTCGTTTGTCAATGTTAGCCCAAGTCTTCATGTCGTTCATATATGTAAGGATCGGTGTTTGGTTGGAAAAGTTTGCTGTGCGGATTTGAATCGGGTCGATACCACTTGCATAACTACAGTGTTCCATTATTGATTCTATAGCCGCCAGACCTTCTACTGAGCCTACAACAACTACTTATTGGAGGTTGGTCACACGTCTTGATCTTACCGGGAGCTCTCGTCCAGGTGTTGGTAGCAGTGTCTGTTACCACGCGATTATAACTAGTGGTGAACGTATCGGAGGTATAAATAGTTTGGAAAATTTGTTCGAACCATGGGCTGATATCTTCGTCAAATTGGCTACCTACGTCTGTATAGTGAGTAACATTGGCATATTGGAAAACGCCGTTGTCATCAAGACCCACTTCGTAATCCGTTGATAGAGGGAATCGTTTGCCAATGGCAGTCATGTTGGTGGTTAGCGGTAGCCACATCTTCACTGGTTTTTTCAATTTGTAGGCGGCTAGAGCAGTAGCACAAGCGATTAAACTCGCTCGAGTTATTTTACCACCAAATGCTCCTCCACAATGACGAACCATAACAGTAATCTGACTTTCGGGGATACCTAGCACCCTGGAAATAGCACACTGAACAAGATCCATCCACTGAGTTGATGCATAAACCAAAAGCCCTTTATCTTCTGGTATGGCTTGACAACATTGATTTTCCATGTGAAAGTGGTACTGCTGATAGATATCAAAACTTCCTTTGACGACATGTTTCACATCATTGCCTCGTCTAGTAGCGTCATTTTTTTTGTACTGTGTAATTCGATCCGTTCTTCCTTCTTTTACAACCTGACGAGAAGTCAGTAAAGGTTCTACATTTGGGGAATCGTAAGTAACCAAGACTAATGAGACGGCGTTCTCAAGGGCTTCTTGACTTTTACCCACTAAAATTCCGATTGGTTGATCATAATACCTAACTCTACCGTCGCAGAACAGTTGTTCTTCAGAAGTGGTCAAGGGTGTCAAGATGGTGAAGACATTGTCACCAGGTATGTCGTCTTTGCTATAGAAGGCTACAATATCTTCTCTACCCTAAAACAGTTGTTAGAGTAGAGCAAATACTAAATGTGTATCGTACTAATGCTCCATCCGGATTAATTTTCCTGATTACGGAGTTCGCAGGAGCTTTAGCTAGTACTAAAGCACCATATAGTTGAAAAGGCAAATCGGGAAGATCTATCACGTACTTGGTTTCACCTGTAGAAAAAAATTCACTTAAACAAAAAATGTCTTTACGTTGTCGTACCACTAGTTTGAGATAGAGCTCCAAGTTTCGGTATTTCTGAAGTCCAAGGGTACTTTTGTTTGTTGTATTCATAATCTTGTGACCCTGTCGAAATCGGTCTTTGCAACACTGCTCCTCCACTTTTATTTTTGGATGCCATTTTATCAGAAGGTGCGATACTAAGTACTGCCTGAAAATTGAACCTAGTTGCTTTGCAATGTAAATATGGAGTATCAAACTTTATAGAATAGTGATATAGCAAGTTTCTTTCTAAACTCTGGGGAAGGATCTGGTGGTCTAACGTCAGGATCTAGTTCGTTTGTCAAACTCGTATAAACTTGTTGTAGAACGGAGTTGTCGAACAAGTTTTTTCCTGCTAGCAGTCGTTCGGTTACATTGGCGTGCACAAATGGTACGCTTATGTTTCCGTATACTATAGTGGCACTTTGTAAAAGGCCGCTATTGTCGAATTTAAACACAAATCCCGCATTGACTAAAGCGTGGACATTTTGGGCCCGCGGCATAATCTGAAAGTAGTTAGTATTTTGACAAACAATACTAGATATCGTGACGTACCTTGTAACTAATGTACTTAAACGTGGTAGGGAATGACGGCAAATTAATAGTTTTTATAACTAAGGGTTCTTTTCGAAGATCACAGTTGATGAAGTCGATTGGACTTATATTAGTTTCTTGTCCAGACACATTAACTAAAATTAAAAATTATATAGTAGTAGCATCTATGTACTTCTATTGAATCTTACCAAGTGTAATGGTGGCACCAACTGTTTCTAAAATCAAAAATATATCAGACGGGAAGTCGTGATGGTCATGTTTTATTATTAAATTTCCAGCGATTGTCGCCCTCTAGAAAATGTATAAGGAGATTTATTTGGGTATTCTGTAGATTTTCAAAAATTTCTTACGTTACGAACTGGAACATTTGCAACCAAATCAATGTGATCCGCCACGGCTTTCAAGTACGAAAAACTAGGATAAGATTTTGCCACTTCATTAAAAAATTCTATTGCAATTGTAAGAGTAATATTGCCCCCCACCATGCAAGTATCGCCTTGAATTTTGTAATCCTTTAATTCTGGAACCTCAGTAACATCTATGTAAAGATCAACTGTATCTTTGTATGATCGATAAACCCCTACGACAATCAAACTAATATTTTTCTTCAAACAACTGAAAGTCTACCTTGCGCAGTGTTACCAGCCACTAATCTATATGTGGCTTGTGGGTTTATCCTCAACGTTCTCAACAAATCTTTTAAACTGTGAACCTTAATCCATCTAATTTCGCCTAGTTCTAGAAGAAAAGGTTCCTTGGACACGTTATTACAATCCGTTGAGCATTTTCTAGCACATCTTTCTTTATAACAACTAACAAGATCTTCTACATCTGGACATTCTCTAAGTATCCCGAAATCCGCATCCGTACAAAGCGACTTAAACGCTGTCAAAATCGATCTATAACCGGTACACCGACAAGTATTCCCGCTGAACGAATTTTCCACTTGCTGCATTGTGAGTTTTCCTGATTCATACAAAGCGTACATATTCATCACCATTCCAGGGGAACAAAACCCACATTGGGTACCGTTAAATCGTGCTAGGACTTCTTGAAGGGGGTGGAATCCTTCCACAGAATTACCTATACCTTCGATCGTGAAAATTTTCCACCCGTTGCACGACAGAAGCGGTATGAGACACTTAAGACATATATTTTAGAGTGCTATAGATATGATGTAAATAAGAATTACCGAATTAACCGCTAAAAATACATCTTTTTGCGTGATGGGGTCTTTATTTTGCAAAACTACTAGGCAAGCACCGCAGCCTCCCTCAAGACACATGGCTTTAGTGCCCGTCATTTTTAAAATATTCCGCAAGTAGAAGTTCAGGCTTGTGTTGGGTGTAATGTTTTCGCTTTTCGCTAGAATTAATAATAATAACAATAATAATAAGTGTGACGTTTAAATAAATATATGTTGAGAGTGTAATTAATTATATCTGTGTTTATTTCATGGGTCACTAGTTTTGTAAGTATTTCCAAGAATGATTAAAGGTTCCGTTTTTTAAAATATTAGGTTGTCGTTGACCTACGCCTTATTTACTGATAATTTAATATTTGTTTTATCTGCATATAATTACAACGAAGATATAAATAAAATTGAATTTATAGCAGTTTTTTAACATTTTGCAATGCATGTGTGACCCCGGTTGATTAAATTTTGAAAAAAGCATCAACTAACACATAATAATGAAGAAAATATTTATGATTCGTTAAATACTTATACATATATATATATATAATAATATTCTTACCAACATGTTCTACACCTTGTAAATGAAACTTTACTTCTGTTAATCTGGAATTTTTTTGTTAATTTTAATATAGGTAGTAATATTTACCTACTTTTTTATTTCTGTAGCCGGTTGGCTATCGTCTTCTACAGTGGACTGTTCCGCCCCCATACTTTTTAAATTGCTTTAATTTTCAAGATATTCGTTTTACGTTTCAATATTTAGGAAGACACGTCACTAATAAATAAAATTTTGTGGATGTTAGCTTTTATAATAAGTCCGGGAAGCAACTTAATCTACGTGGTGCACTTTTAAGATGACCTTTATATTTAAAATTATTGTCTAGATAAACTAAGGAACATTAAATTTATGTTTTTATAATTGTATGATTGAAAACAACGATGATGCACTGTTTATTTTTGCATAGTTACATCAAATTAGTCAATAAAACGACTTTTTGTATTGATAAAAATTAGAAAACCTGGACCCTATTTAGTGTCAGTGGTCAAAGCAAATAAAAATTTTTAATTTTAAAAATGTAGACCATTTTAGTTCACGAAAACCCAGCCCACTGTATTGTTAATATTTTACAGTATCTTAATTCCTGTAAAGTATCGATTTAAAACAATATCGACACACAGACACTATGAATTACAAATCTGTGAAGCGGTTCTAACCCAATATAAGTGTTCTCTAGAATCAAATAGACCATGTGGATTTCCAATTCAAATCAAAAATTTTATTTTATCCTTTAAAGTGAACAGCGACATCTATACAAGAATAGTACAATTATTAAGTTTTATGCAACTGAATCCTGCACCCTTGGAAGTGTGGTGACGTAATGAACGCTTCCGAAGTGATATTTTTAAAAAGCGATTTGTCGAATTTTTGTTCGGTATTTCTATGTCCAAATTACAAACTATCATTCTGAAAAATCAATAAAACTGTTCCTTTTAATTCATTCATAAATTTTCAGAGTATAGTTATTGTCTTGGAATTCTGTCTTTACACTTAATGCATAAATTTCAAAGAGAATATAAAACAAATTCAGTATCCTTAATAAAACTAAATATTAATTTTACAGTAGGCTAGTCTACGCAATAAACAATGTGCAAAAAATGTTCAGATTTTCATATCTACATTTCACGTTTCAATATGGCAGCGACATCTATCAAGAGTGGGTAATACAGATCTAGCGTTTGTTGCCAAATGAATGAATTCTCTAATATTTTCGAAATAAATATATCCCACAAGAAACTTTATATTAATGATTAAAAAAAAAAGAAGTCCAAAAAATGGGATCGATACCTTCGTCATTCATTTTCATACATAACCTGGATAATTTTTCTACAGGAAATATTTTTTGTCGCCATACGTTTCAACAAAAATTGGATTACAATTACATTTAGAAATTTGACGTCACCAATTTTCTGAAGAGTATCAAAAAAATAACTAATAAATAAACACCAAGATTGACTGATTCTAGGTAGTTTACTATCAAAAAAATTGAAACATTTGTGATTTCACTCATCACTTCATCAGTTTACAGAGTGACTTTTAAATTTAAAAGTAATGTCACATCTACATTCTTTCAACATTTGTGATCAGATCAGACGTGATTTTTATTTTTAATAGATTTTTTAGTATATTTTTCCATCTTTTTGCACCACTGTTCCCCCAACATTTTTGTGTCCGCTGCTTTGATGTTTTCAACTGTCAACGTTTGGTGGCGCATCAATTTCCATAAATAACAACAAATTGGAGGGAAATGGCGCAAACAAAATGGTTTCGAACATCTACTGTTTTCACGAATATCTCACGTAGTTCGTAGTGACCCTAGACGTAAATTTTGACAGAAAGTCAATGTGAAACCAAAATTTGTAAGCATGGGTATCTCCCAACTCCTACCTCTTTTGGAAAAGAGCACCCGTTCGTGCAGCGTTTCGGAATTCAGGGGGCAAACGGTGGCCGTCGACAGCTACTGTTGGCTTCACAAGGGGGCCCGAAGTTGCGCTTTACAACTAGCCAAAGGCGAAAAGACCGACGCGTGAGTACAGTGAGGTTAAGTGTTTTTCAATAATAATCATGTATTGCAGATACGTACAGTACTGTGTGAAATACATAGACATGCTCCTATCTTACGACATTAAACCTGTCATGGTCTTTGATGGGCGCCCATTACCAGCCAAAGCTGGAACTGAGAGGAAGAGGAGGGAGTCAAAATCTCAAGCCTGGAAACAGGGTATGGAGTACTTGAGGCTGGGGCAAAGCGGAGATGCCTACAAATCCTTCTGTCAGTGTATTGACGTTACTCCACAAATGGCACTTGATGTTATCAAAATGTGCAGGAAAATGAAAATTGATTATATAGTGGCGCCCTATGAATCTGATGCCCAGTTGGCTTTTCTCAGCATAAGAAATATGGTAGACTGCGTGATCTCTGAGGATTCTGATTTGCTCCTATTTGGGTGCAAGAGAGTAAGTTTTATTTTATCTTGTACATGGGGTTTCCCAGGTAGTGTCACTTTTTTGTGTTTAGCAGGAAAGATCACGCTTGTTAGTGAACTATGGTGATGTAATTGTCGCATGTTGCGTGCGCATGACATAATCAAACATTTAAGTGCAAAGAAATGAAAAGTATTAATTACACCATGTAATTAACACAAATCGTCTTGTAGTTGGCGCTGGATTTTTACTGTTTTTGACGTTGCATATTGTAAATAAGTAATAGGTGATGAAAAATGTGATTTGCTAGTCCAGCACCAACTTTGAGACTTTTTTATTATCACTTATATCTTCATTAATTAGAAAAATGCAGACTCTTTTCAAATAAAATCTATTTATACCTAAGTACTTATGTACGCTTATGTGAATATAGTTCGTAATTATTGTAAATAAAAGCAAAAATTCTTTTTTGCAGGTATTATATAAAATGGATGTGCATGGACACGGTCGTCTCGTTGAATCTGATAAAATTCATGTATCACTTAAGTTTCGTCGTGAACTATATAGTTTCCAAAAGTTCAGACATGCATGCATATTATCAGGTTGTGATTATTTAGATTCTCTTCCTGGTATAGGTCTGAAAAAAGCTTTCAAATTCGTTTCAATGACCAATGAAACCAATCCATCTATTGTAAGTTGAAATTCAAGCATCCTAGCCTAAATAAACTATATATCTTAATTAAATTTTTGTATTTTCAGTGATCAGTTTTCCATTTAAGTACTTTTCCTCGTTTCATTATCTTCTAATTTCATGTTTGTTAAGGCTGAGGATGTTTAAATCTAAGCAAAATTCAAATCCCTAACAATTGCTTTACAGTTTTTGGAACGCATTCCTCGTTACCTAAACATGAAAAATCTGACAGTTTCTGAAGAATACAAAGAAAATTTTTTAGTTGCTGATGCAACGTTTGTGCATCAGGTTGTGTTTGATACAATCAAGAAAACATTGACGCATCTTCATGAAGTTGGAGACAACGCTCAGTATTGTACAAACGCGGGAGAAATATTTGATGAAGCTCAAGCGTTTCAGTTGGCAATAGGCAATCTCAACCCGCTTAATATGGAGAGAATTGATAACTGGGACCATAGTGAAAGGCTTGTAAGCAGTTTCCTTCAATTCTGCTCTATTTCCTTTTTAAATCATATTAGAAGACTGAAAACTGAACAACCTACAGTGATTACATACGTATGACTTTCTTGAAGGTGTACAGCAGTCTAGTGTTTTTCTGGAGTCACTTTCTTTTCTAAAAACTTAAAAATTATTTTTCTTTCAGCGTTGTGCATCCAGTATTTGGTCGGCTCAGTACTCCCCGCCTCGTAAACCTATGCAGAGATATAAGCCATCCCAGAATCTGCTAAGTAAGAATATAGATCTTAAAACTATAGAAACAATGAAAGAACGAAACGACGAAGTGGTGGAAAAAGAGTTGGAGTTCTATAAATCGCCCGTCAAAGTTCATGTGGCCCTTATAGAACATAACTCTCCCGAATCACCCCCTACGCCGGAATCTCAAATTTCTCCCGTTTTAGGCAATAATCCATTCATTAAGAAAAAAATTAGTAAATTCCAAGTGACAAAACAAAATTCTCGACAAAAAGTAATCAGTCGTTTTTTTTCTTCGGATGTTGTAGGTATACAGGGACCGTCGTCTTCTTACGGGTCTTCATCTGCATCGCCAGTTTTCACTTCTGAGAGTGGATATGACGAACGTGTTGTGACTTCAGAAGACGATGTATCTTCCACTGTAACTTCTAACGGAAATTCGCTAGAAGCTTCCAGTTCTGGTAATCTGTCTCTGAAAGTTAACGTAGGCGGTTCGTCCCAGACAGATACTGAAACTACAGATACCTCAGACGAACCACCGCAAGTGGAATGCGAATGTATCCTTGAAGAGGAAGACGGAACGGTGTCTCTTGCCGGGACCTCAACGACTTTAACAAGTGTGGAAAATATCCCTATTGAACCACCCGCCAAGAGACGCAAATTCCAAGTTGTGCCCAAAGGCAAAAAAAGATCTTCCAACCAACCGACTATTCAAGATATGTTCAAGAAAATGCGGATGAATTAATTCCGTTCAGTGTTAAATATGTTCAAAGTTTTGTTTCAGTTCGATTAAGTTTGCGTTTGTTTTTTTAAGTTTTTTGCAGTTTTTATAATAAATGTATTTGATTGAATTCGTCTCTTTTATGTACGAGTCTGGAGGTATCCACGATGCGAAAAAGTTTGTAGATGCCTGAGAATCTTGTTGATGATGCTACCTGGTGGCTATTTGATACATCACAAACTGTTATGTCATAGAAACCTGGTGCTAGATCCTAATACACTACTAAATTGCTAGGAATCCCGGCGTTGATCACCTTAATTTTGATGTTGCAGACTACATACAGATGTCGCACTAGTGTTTAAACATTTACCGTTTTTTGTACCGCGGAGACTCAAGAATGATCAGACAATATAAATTCAACAAAGGCATTAACTCAAAAGCATTATAGAAGGAAATGTATGTGCATTCTTAAATTTTATGTGGATTCAGTACGTTTATTCTTGTTGGACGCATTAAGTAAATTACAGTATGCAAAACCCTATTTTATTTATGCATAGCTCGTTTGCTTACTATTCTTAATGGTATTGGTCAAAAACTGCAGTATAAAATAATTTTAACGCGACGGTACTTCCATTTTTTTGTATTTTATTGAATATTTTGGGACCAGGTACACTTATTTTGGACTTTTGTACAATACAGAGAAGATACATACGATTTTAGGATTAACTCTAATTTAATTCTAATTGCAATGTGCTCCTGTTGCAATTGAACTTTAAGGATTCCCAGTCGTATTCAGAAATTAAAACAAAAAATAAATATTCGTATTTTATTAACAACACTAGTATCTGTGACACGGTAACTTTTAAATCAATTCAATAGTAAAAACAGTCAACTCATTTAAATTTGTATAATATCAATATCTATCAGCAGTTTATATTTGCACAAATAATATTAACATTTAATTGCACAATGCATTATTAATGGCGTTTCACTATATAGCAGTTTATTCTAATTCTGGATTTATGACTCCAGTTCAATCAAATTCCAGATGCGGATGTTTTTGCATTAGATGCCGTTCCTTGTATATATTTTTTGTAGAAAACGTTAATGCTTATCCCTAGTCTCATGATTTTTATCCTACCGCACAGCCCTTATCTCCCGTCTCTAAATTATCTCAAGCGAAACCACCCTATTCAATTTTACCCAAAAGTCAAATATGTTTGCTTGTGATTTAAAATCCATTTTCGCCTTTCGCTTCTACCTAGCAAGCTCAAAATAGACAGCTTGTCAATGTTCGAGATAACGAAAGGTATTTGTAAAACTTTACAACCTCCTTTCTTGCAATTACTACCTGCTTACTTGGGGTGGGTAAATTTCGTTAGTTTGCTTGCAACTCGCGCCCCGTCAACATCTGCAAGGTAAGACCCTAAAATTTTTCTTCTTGCAATTAATGTCAGCCCTAATTCAGATGACTTTACTACGACGGACCCTTGCCCTGGCGATATTAGCCCTAATTTCCACAGCTGCAACAAGTCCTGCTACAAATCCCGCAAAGAAGGATGACGGTACAGAAGTGGCGAGTCTTAAATGGTCATTTTATGACATTGCAACGCTTAGCACGGCGGTCTTGGTAGTCAGCGTCGGTTTTGCAGCCCTCGTGTCACTCTTCATACCCTTATTTACGTACAAGTTGTGCTATTTTTTTGGTATTTGCCACAACACGCTCGACGTTTTCAACGAGTTCGTTCTTCCGCGGAAAGTGACTAAGAGGTCGGTGGATTACGTGGAACCCATGCTAACCACCCTAGTGAACGCATACGAAAAATACGCAGACACCGATCTAAAAAAAAAGTCCAAGATACCCAGATTCTGAAGACCGTGGCATTCGTAGTGCAAATTATACCGGTTACCATAAATATCTTTAAACTTACCTTCCTCGTGGTGAATTTGCTGCTGCAACTGATTACCTTGTTGAAGAACTTTTTCGGTTTATTTAAAATGTGGTACGGTTAGGTTGTGTGAAATATTGAACAAATAAATTTGTATGACATCGCTGAGTGTATTTTTTCGCGTCACTTCATCCAATATCGTCAGCGCGACGAAGTGTTCCTTAATGTAATTACGACAAAAGGAGAGAAATGACAGAAATCGTTAAAAAGGTATATTTTATTGCAATACAGTAGCTAATACACAATATAAAAAGTGTAATACAAAAATAAAACAAATATAGTCGCCATTGTGATTAATGGCGGAATGTTTTGAGTACTACTTCACTAGAAACAGTCTAATTGCCCACAATTTCCTTGTTATCTTAACAAACATAATACGAAAATTGTTGTGTTGACAAGAAAGGCGGATGACAGCTAGATTACTTGCCTAAAATAAATACTAATAAATACAATTTCTTGTTTTTTGGTAAATACAGTCTGTTCCGAATGGCGACGTTAATGTTAAATGTCACCATTATTAGTTTTTTGTCGTGCTTCGACATTCGAGACAGCCTGTACGTAGCCCTTGTCCTCCGGTGATGACGAGAGGTGGGTACAAGGGAGCCGTGTTCTAATTAGGAGAGACTGAAGGGCCGAACAAGGGCTGTTCACGTTCCACTTGCAATTACAGGAACTGCTGGCAATCCACCCTCTATGACGGGGTAAGAGGTCGTGGCCATTGCGAAGTTATTGCCAGTATAGACTTTGCCCGATTACATATTCCCTTTTGTGAATGAGTTCAATTTAAAAATGGCCGTCGGCAAGCTATATAATTCTAGGAACCGTTCTTAGGGTCAGGAAGTGGCCGGAAAGATCAGCCCTTGTTCTATCGAGATATTCGCGATATGCACCGAGCGGCTTTAGTAAAGGGTAGTGCACGCACCAATTTGCATATTTATTATAATACGCCTCACAGGGGGGATCCCACTAAATAGGTTCATTAACGATGACTCTTATTAGTGTTGGTAATGCGAATGCTAGAGTAGGTGTGCTTAAGGCGGGTGTGCGGTTTCAAGATGCGGATGGTAAACAGCGGTTAATATAAACGAGTAGACTTTATTAGTTTCTAGTATAAAATAACAGCCACACCTAGTTAACTACAAAATCAACAAAACGACAGTCTTCGTAAACGCAATAGGTGTTGGAGTCAGCTCATTACGTCACACGGCACATACCTTTCATTGTTTACAACTGTAGGAATTGCTGACTCGCAATACCGTAATTAATACAATTAAAGGATGTTTGCTATTACGTTCGATAAAACTCTAAACTACTCGCACACATACTGATTACATGAATACTTGACGCGTAAACGTAAGCTAATTGTTCTTGTCAAAGGCGGCACTTCTCGTAATTCGTCTTTTCTTCGTGAGAACAAAGACGAACCCGATAATTGTCATAAGAGTGATATATACAACACCCGCTTTAATGGCTGCCGCCGCCCAAGAATTGGTTTCTAATTCGGAACTGTAGGAATCGCTCGCGGCTCTGGGAGATCTCTGCAAAATCGGAAATTCGCAACCGGATTCTCTGACGTACTTAGCCCAGGTACGGTTCGTGGAAGTTAGTACCCGCTGCGACTTAATGAACGGTCTCCTGCCGGGAACCGTTTTGTTTGTGATAACAGGCAGAGGTAATTTGGTGTCGTAGCTACAAATAAGCAAGTTCTTGCGCTTGGTTTTCCCGGCTGTGACGTGCTCGGGGCTCAAAGTCGCTCCTTCTAAAATACCGAGACCGCCCTTTTCCAAATTAGCCCAATCCCATAATTCGGCGACGGTGCAGTCGCACTTCCACGGATTACCGACGAGTTTTAACTTCTCCACGTCCGGATTTTCGAGAACGTATTTCGGTGAAAATCGCGATAAGTTATTGTACCTCAAATCGAGCACTTTTAGTTTAGGTAGTAATTCAAGGAATTGTAAATTATCGGGCGTGGAGAAATGGTTTCCGCTCAAAATCAATGTGGTGATATTTCTAGTCCAGTAGAAAGCATCCGGTGGGAGGAATGTAAGGTCGCAATTGCTCAGATCGAGTTTTTCCAGTCTAGATAACTGTTTCGGTAAAAGAGGTCCTGATTTTGAAAACTGTAATGGATTTCCCGCCAGCTGTAATTCCTTCAAGTCAGTGTAAGTTAGGTTGTTGAAAAATAACGTAGCGTTAATGGGTCGTCTTAAACCGCAGAAATTTAATTCCAAACTTTCAAGTTTAGTTAAGTTACCGAAAACACCGGCTTCTAAACTGTACAAGTCGTTCCCTGTGAGTACCAGTCGTTTCATGTTTGTCATTTTCAAAAACGACGTCGGCGCGATGTATGATAAATTACTGTAACCCATATTCAAGTATTCTAATTTATCCAAGGGTGTCAATAACTTGACGAATGCGTCATTCAGAGGATTATGTGAAATATCGAGTTCTTGTAGACTTTTGAAGTTGCGGAAAGTATCGGGTAGACGAGTTAATCCACAATTACTTAAAGAAAGTTTTTCCAAATTTGATAATGGGGCTAAGGCAACCAATAGGTCGGACGCGAATAACGAATTTCCAGACAAATACAAACTTCGGATTTTCGTGGCGTTGATGAAAGAATCCTCCGACAGGGGTAATGTTAAATTACAAAAAGACAAGTCCAACGAATCTAATTGCTGGAGTTTGCCCAAGGTTTGAGCCACGTCGATATCACTTAGCTCGTTTTCGGCCAGAATTAACGTCCGTAAATAGGTGTTGTTGCTGAATACGATTTCGGGTAAATGTTTGATCCCGGCATTCCTTAAATCGAGGTATTCGAGGCGCGGGAGATAATCGAGAACCGATGACCAATCAGTAGTGATAAGCATATTACCGCTTAATTCGAGATTTTTTAGATTTTCCAGAGAGACGAACGCGTAATTTGCAATGTAAGTTAAATTGCAGTCGTTCATTTTCAGCGTTTCCAGACTAGACAAAGGCTCGAGTACTTTATTATCTATCACGCCTAAGGGATTTCCGGATAAGTCGAGCGTACTCAGTGCGGTTATATTGGCGAAGAAAAGTGGATTTAAATATTTTAGACCGCAGTTGCTAATGTCCAAATAAAGCAATGATTTGATGGATAAAAACGGCCCATCGACCGGCTCTAAGGGATTGCCTTGAAGTTCTAAAGTGATAAACCCGGGCGAATCGCTGAAAATAACGCCACCGTGAAGCTTGTTTGGTTAATGAGATTCTGTTACTTACTCGAAGCTATCCGGATCAACTTTAGTTATCATATTTTCGGAGAAATCGGCGTCGATGAGGTAGTTCAGCTCTGCGAAGGATGATTTTTTCAGCTCAGTCATGCGATTATCGGCCATTTGCAGACGCCTCATTTTAATGTCGCCAGGAAAAGGTCTCACATCGGTGATGCGATTGTTGTTCATGTCCAACACGTACACGTTCAGACTCAGCTCATCGTAGGGTATTTCGGTCAGGTTACTATCAGAGCAATCCGTCACCCAATTGATCCGGAAGTAATGGCAATCGCAATCGTCGGGGCATTCCAGCTCGGCGAGCTCGCCATTAAAGGACCAACTTAGGCTAATGCAACCGGCCAACACTGCATGCAGTATCACCCAAGAGACCTTCATGGTTCTGGAAAATAACCAAGACTTAGAACCGGACTCGACGTGATCACAACCGTGACGTGCGACCGACAAGACAACTTTCCATTATCATCTAAATCTAACGTCAACGCGTCTATCGTCTTGACGAAATTATGCCGCTTAATTCGCATTATTGAATAAATCATACCGCTCGACGACACAAAGGCGATCATATACCCACGTGGCTCTGATACAAAAGCCAATTTCAGTGTTCCATGTTAACACTGCTGACAGCACCACTTGGGAAGCTGCTCCCGGCATTTCAATGCCCCTTCAATCAAAATCTTCACCTAGTCACGATTAGAACTAAAGAACCGCGAACAGCTAAATTGTGCTAACCCTGCTCTAATCGATAACCCACATAAACTAACTTTTGATTTTCACGCTTCGACAATCGAAAAATCGCTACTCGTTACAACGCAACGTTAATCGTGCTCGAGCAAAACCCTCCTATCCCGATTTTGTTTATTAAATCAGTGAATCACAATGTGTAATTAAGTTTTATAGGTAATAAGGTAATTACCATAAAAACGCTTTGTGCGTAACAGCTTATATTCAAGTCCGCGGGATGCTGCGTGCGCATTCGTTCAAAACCGGCGCACTGGAGAAAATAACCTAACTTCCAAAAGAAAAGTCACCCCTATCTACTTATAATGCTTTCACGTTTAGCGATTTAACAATCATTTAGATGCAACAAAACCGGTCTTACCCTATATTGCACCAATATGCACTCCGCCACTCTCACCAAACGCATGTCAACACGCTGGAAAGGTTAACTGAGCTGAATAATGCAGGAACGTCGATCCATTTTGCAGGAGTGGAAACTACGACGTTCACGAAGTAACACGAAGTGCTTCACACGATCGCATCATTTATATATGACAATGCAAATGTCCACAAATTTAATTTGCCTTGTTGGAGTTTGTAATTAGACGTTCTGACTATGTGTGATTCGCCGCTCTGTCGGTCCCTTGTTTACAAACACATTTAGCGCGCACAACCTAAACACGCGGCACTAAAGAATTTCGTTTCTTCGCAACCGCGTTATTATAACGTTGCAAATTTTTGTCCTCGTTCTTCCCCCACGGTTCACAGAGTAATAATTACAAAAGAAAAGCATTTCTTTTCGCTACCTTCACTAATTAATTTCGTTTTCGTCAGGGGGATTATATATCCAGCATCGATAATAGGCAGCCTTCTGCTTATCCTGTTTGCTTTTCGCCGGATCTCTTTGATGTGCTTCTCTTATTTGTAAAAAGGTGGATTCCGTGCAAAATTTCCATAGTTTTGTCTTTAATATTTAATTAGGATCCGTTAGCGTCGATCGTGCTTCCGCAACTACGAACTCTTACCTCAAAAATCGTCGGTTGAATGACCAATGAGGTTACGAGCATCCAAACAAGCAAAGAAGTCTACCTTGTCTCATCAGCTGATTTGTTAAAGGTCGTCGTGTGATGTTCTTCGTTCTTTTAAACCGAGCGTAATTATGCTTACCTTGTTAGCATTCTTATTAACATTTTTTACGTCGCGTAAGTACCCCACCAATTAAAATTAATTTCAAAACACCTTTTCGTTTGTTTTTAGGGATCCCTTGGGTAATTCTTGCTGCGCATTAAATGTAATTAAAAACCGGATCCAATTTACTATGGTCGTAAGAAAGTACAAAACAAACAAAAGAGAGATGCACTTTTCCGATTTTTTCTTTACTTGCATTAGCACAAAAGTGGAAGTCGGCACGATTTACGATTTACATATATCACAATTAGAATAATAAAGATCCTGATAATGCAACAGATTAGTGATAATTTTCGATTTCGAAACATTGCATTTTCGATTAAAATATTAATAGAACTGTCGACAAGTGGTATTTAAATTAACTAGCTTTCGGTCTTTGATGCCAGAAAGGAAACGGGAAACGCTTCAGACGAAGAATAAGCATACATATGCAAGACTTCTTTCCGCTTTCATCAATATGCGAATGGATGGTTGTTAAACAAAGGCATGAATTTGCGGTCGATATAATTTACATTTACAACAGTTCAAAGTGTTTGATCGTAACTGACCTTCGGCAAGGCTTTATGTACGTATCGTAAAAATGAATCTATGACGATGTAGGTACAGGAAATATAACTTACCGTATTATCCTTCAACATTTGGTGTAGTTGTGCTAATACTTCCAGGTCGCTGTGCACAAATTGTTTAATTAACCAGCAAGTTTACTTGTACTAAATCCCATTGAATATGTATGGGCTTTGGAATTACAGTGTTTTCACCTGCCTACAACCGTGACACAGATAATTTCATTCAGGAAATGATCGATAGTTTGAGTTCAGATTTATTGTTCAGTATTTCATTTCTTGTTTTTTTTTTTTTCTTTTTAGAAAGCGTTGAACTGCGGATGAGGGGAAAATGAATGAAAAGCGTGCTTTTGTAATTGTTTATTATCTTATCATTTAATAAACATTATGTAATAATGTATGGAGAAGGAAGTAAATAGCAGTAGTCATAATTAAGAACAGGTATTATTTACTGTGAACAAATGTACACATGACAATATTTTGATTTTGTTAAATCTATAGTAAAATATTTTCACCGAGAGTGTAAAGGTTCCTAAAGTAAATCGTGTCAGAACAGCTATACATGGTCCAGTACTGCGTAAACGTTTGACAGCATGATATAGATGACGAGTAGAGAAATCAAGTAGTCTCTGCAGCGAACAAAAAATGCAATAATGAAGATATTGCGTCGGTTCGGATATTCTTTATTGCTTTAGTTTTGTCACAACTTTACACATCATTATTAATTTAAAGCTATTTGACACATTTGGAGTAGCAAAAACGGACACTTTAAAAACGAATCAGTCTTTTCATCTGTACTGAGTTGAAAGGGAACCGAGCCCGGTGAAAAGCCGCCCCTTGGCAAAGAGGAGCCGTTTCAGGCGTTTGTATCCACACTGCCTCGAGCTCCTAGCATATAACGTATGATACACATGTTCTATAAAATATAAATGCATCAGGCGCGACGGCCGATTTCTATACCCGAATTTGTAGGAAGAACCTTACGGAGCGATCCGCGCGAACAGATCACAATGGAGTTACACGTAGACGATATGAGGCCTCGTCTTGTTGTTTAAATCTAAATGTTCATAAATGTTCATAGTGCCGGCACAGTCCGCGCTGTAAGGATCCCAGGAGGGTAGCGTGCGGTAGTCGTGATGTATGAGAGGTGGCGCGATCATGCACTTATCTGTCCTTATGTTCTCGAAAGGCTCACTCCTTCCGTTCGAACAAGCTCCGCCGGTTTTATTCCTACACCTGCTCTCGACTGCCGAAAGTTCTTTCTCTTTAGCACGTGCCCTCTTTATCGGGCCCCAATACAACAAACCGCCGACTATAACGACTATAAATAGGGCCGTTAGTGTTGCCGAAACTGCCGCTATCCAGCTGACAGAACAGTCCACTTGGGATTCGGTCGCATCAACCAGCAGCACATCCGTCAAAGGTTCCGGACCAGCGCATCTTATATCCTCCCAATCTACTATTAAATCACCAGAGTACATCCCGTCTTCGTCGGCCGTCCCGTTCGCCAACTCCACAGATCGCTTAGATTTTTGTTCCTGAATCAAGTGCCAAAGCCACGACAATGAACAATTGCATTCCAGTGGGTTACCAGCTAATTTTAAAACACGTAATTGATCTAACGGGAAATGGGTTACTTCTATGTTTGTTAACCTGTTGTTGCGTACAGACAAATAGGTAACACGAGGGTTTCCATGAAATAGCCTAGTCGGCAACCGATCTACTGCTATGTTGTCGTCTAGCCAGACCCTCTCCAAATTAATGTTGTCGACGAAAGCCCTAGCGTCTATCCTTTGGAGAAGTTCTTGGCTGTCTAATCTAAGAAAACGTAAATGGAAGAGTCCTTTGAAAGCGACAGGTGGCACGATATTGATGAAATTACCGCTCAACTTCAGTTTAGTTATGTTCGACAGTTTCGTCAGAGATGCCGTCGGTATGACCGTGAAGTTGTTGTCGCTGAGGTCGAGATGATCCAAAGCCAGCAGTCCAGACAGAGCCGATTGGTGGATATCATCAATAATGTTCTTATCTAGAAGCAGAGTCCGCAGTTCCGGCAGAGCCGGCATCTGTCCTTCTTCCATCGCCTTGAGGAGGTTGTGCGAGAGCGACAGGTACCGCAGATTGGTAGCGTCGACTAGTGCCGCCGTCGGCACCTCCAAAAACAAGTTGTGATCCAAAAGCAGCTCCTGTAGATGCTTAGCCGACTTAAAGAGCCTCCCCTCTAGATAAACCAGACGATTTTCCGATAATTTCAATACTTGCAAGGAATGTAGTTCCCGGAAAGTTTCCCACGTGAGTTCTTCCAACCAGTTACGGCTGAGATCGAGCGTGGTGACCGCTCTGAGTCCTTTAAACGAGTCCTTGGAAATCTTTTCGATTTCATTCTTGCTGAGGTTGAGATGCTTTAGGTTGTGCTGCAATTCGAAGTTAGAGGATCCGAGAGTTTTGATTTTGTTGAAGGAAAGATCGAGCGTTATTAGGTTATTGTATAGGGAGAACGAGAATCGAACTTGTGTGATTTTATTGTTAGAGAGGTCGATGTGGCGCACTTCAGGGTTGAGCTGGATAGGGACGACCTCGAGAGCTGCTGAGCCGCAGGAAGCGGAGAGCGTTTCGTCGTTGCACCAGCACCGACGAGGGCAGAGAGCTCCGTCGCTGGCAGATCCGATCGTCGCCAGCACCAGCATGGTAGGTAGCGTCTGCCACCACATGGGTCGGGTCTTTTCACCCCCCATGCCAGGCTCGGCGCACCGTCATGGGATCTGAAACAACAAGTCTGGTTAGTGCATGTCATCAACGTCGACGCTCGTTTTGATGCCGTTGCTTGGATACGCGTAATGTCCTCCCCGCCCTTATCCGTTCCGGTCACGGGAATTAAGACAAATGACTATACAAAAACCAGGAGATACTGCATACTTGATAAGGATTTGATGGCGGCGCATCTAGCGGACGAAGAAATTGATTATCATCGGGCTAGGCAGCTGGGATCTGCGCGACGTGCCGTCGAGGACACGGAACTGCGTTTCGGGCCGGATTTAAGACACCAATTAAAATAAGTGACTCAAACTGTAATATAGCAATTTCGGGAAATTACTTCCACTTGACTCGGATTGAACATAGGCGGAAGAAAAACGCCGCTCCCACGAAAAGTCTGCATTGATGACTTTTCGGATGAAGAAGTGGCGTCATTCATCTTAGCCGTCAGTTTCCTGAATTGTCACGTTATAACCTACAAGTAGTCATAATGATGTTTGCTACCGATCGGCAAAACCGTCTCGGGAAATATAATGGCGTATAAACATTTCATGAGATCGGAACGTCGATTTCAAGTTTCCCGTGTAAGTAAAATATATGGCTTAATCGAGCGGGTTCATCGCGTTCATCTCCTTCATCCATTCGTCAAGCTTCATCTCGCCCAGATAAACTAGCACTCGCCGAAAATATGAGTTATGATTCTACTTCAGACCGACGAAAAATCCTTACGATTTTTCATTTCGGTTCGCTTATATATTCTTTTCCAATTTATTTTCCCTTCCACTATCTATCATTAGCCACATAAAATACTGATTGATATACGATTTAAGAACAGTTCCACGCTCCCTGATTTCATAATAAATCTGTCATTATTTAAAACCCCATCTCAACAAACACAACACAGACGGAACGACGTTCTTCCTTTGTGATTAATTGTCATCCCACCGCTGCAACTTCACCGTGTTGCCGTCGAAGCTTCCTCGAAACCGAAGCGGAATCTTTACTTTTTAAATTATTAACTCAACTTAAAGTAAATTAACTTTTTTAAGACAAGTTTTTATCAGTCGCTCTCCCCGTTCTGTCTCGAAAGCCCCGTTCGCGTTATTCGCTCAAGTGCGCCTTTATTAGCTAGACGCATTGGAAAAAGTATTGTAAATACACACGCGCAAGATGGAATATATGAAATATCGAAGGAATGCCTTATGTTAAAATTGTCGAGGGGCACACAGAATCTTTTCAGAGTTGGAGATTGAAAGAAAGTTGTTTGAAAGTGACGAGAAAATTGAGCTTGGGACGAGTTTTTGATCGTAGGCAACATTAGCCACTAGAGAGCTATTCGTTACAGCTGGGTCATCACGTTTTCTGTCTACGGACTCACCATTTTTTCACCAGAGAGAACTCGCACGCATTATCTCGCCTTCCTATAACGCGCCCTACATTGCAAATTACAACTTCCACTAATTACCTCACTTTCGAAACAAAACAATTTTCAACGCAATCAAAGCTACCGGGTTGTAATTTTCATGTTCGCCGAAACTTGGACGCATTGCTGGTAATTTTTTTTAAATTTTTCATTTCGTTTTGATTTGCTTTGACGAACGTAGACTCCGACGGACAGAAACAATTTATTTCCATCACAATAATCCGCACATAGCCGCTGACTAATTCTTTAATTATGAAAATTTACCCATGGTAGATACACGTTTTGGTTTTAATTAAAATATAATCGCAACCTCCGAAGGAGGCTGGCTCGGAATGAAAAATTCGGTTTGGCGAGTCCCGTGGAAAAAGGGTAGCTCCAAACCGTCAAAAACAGTTTTAATTTAGTTATGCTTTAATAAATGAGCCAGTATAATTTAATTTTCATTAATTTTAACGATTTTCCAAGACAGAGTAAGATGGAACGCTATTTTATTTAAATCGGACAGGGCCCGAATTTTTTCCTATCGCTTAGATCATTAATAGTGTCTTCCGTATGATTGATAGGCAAACAAAAGAACAGAGATTTGTCTGAATTATCAACGCGTTAGCTGCCTTAAGTAACGCTACGATTTAATTTTTCCATTAATTTTCTTCGTCGAGGAACCAGAAAGACCAAGAAGTGTCCTCAGCTGTGGACCGGCGTAATGCGAACCGATTAAAGATTAGATAGAGGTTTTATATCCTTTCACAATGCACTTATTAGATTTGAAATACTGTATTGATCTGTGCCGGAGGGGATATTTTCACAGTTGATGCTCCAGTATAAATTGATAAATGGAAGTAAAGCTGAATAATTGCCTAATAACGTAAATCTTTTCTAAAGAGATACGTCTAGAGTATTCGGTATAAAATCGTCTTACCGCGGATGATAATCGACCAAAATACACCAAAGCAATTTTCTAATCGTGTTCCCCGACGGAAAATTATTTACATGTACGGAGAGACGGTTCCAGCTACTTTAACTCTATCCGAGTTATCAAATTACAGTATTGAAACGTATGCTCGCCCTGTACGTTACGTTGCAAATGTGAATAGCGAAATGTTCTCTGATGTTGTTCAATATCATCATCTTAAAAAATGGATGCGCGTTATAGGCAACACGCTTGAATGTTTTAAGCCAAACTCAATAATAAATACGTCGGCTCGTGTTTGATATCGATTTAATTATCATGGAAGTTACCCATCTCTGCTGATTTCTAGGGCAACTAGTTATACACCCGTCAGCTGCACCGATTTAAATTGGACCGTATTTATACACTCTTTGACGAACGACCGAATTTAGAAATACATAGGTATACGGATTCTGTTAAACATAGAGGTTCATATTCCCATTGTCCTTAATTTCGTGGGAGAATATTACTACCGAAATTGTACATGTTAACACATTTTATCAAACGCTTAGATCGTGACAGTCCGGGCGAATGTCTTCCCAATTTACTCACAGTCTAAATTTTAGCTGTATAATAATAGTTGGCCATTAGCTTAGCCATGCATATGGTAACTGCTAGCCGAATACTATACAAAATGAGTGGCCGGAAGGATGGTGTAAGAAGTTAATGAGATAATAGATTTTCCAGTGAAATTTCGAGGAAAATGGCGACTAAATTGCGGAAAAAGGATGTTTTATAAATTACACCCACAGAAATACGTGCACGCATCCTTTATTTTTCCTCTTAATGATCTCGCCACGAGGGATATTATACACTTTGCATAGTTTTCGGAAGTTGAATCAAGACATGCAAAAAATCACTAAAGTATTAAGAGAAGAGTAGAAAGTTTTTGTTGGGTTTTTTAAAGGAGAATATAAGCTTACTAAGTTGGTAAAGTGAGGGCACGCTCGCAGAACCCTAACTTTGTTAGTAAATATGGATATGGAGTCGTAATTACGTTAGACCCGCTTGCCTCCAAACGTATTGTAAAAACTAACGGAACGCAAATGTTATCCAAATTAATCATGCTTGATCGCTCTAACCTCCACCCTTAAGAAACATCGTGATCAGCCCACGTCGCAAGTCGGAAAATCCTAGAGTCGATAACTCTGTTGTAGTTACTTTCCAAAAAACGTCACAAGGGACCGGAGAACCCACAATTACGCGGCGACACGACGCTCAACTTTTCTCATTTTCACACCTCTCGAAAGAACTAAGGTGTCTTCTCACTGTCTTGTTTAAAAAAAAAAAAGATTTTTCTAACCCGCGTTAATTAAGTTGACTTATTTTATATTTCGACTAGTTTAGAAGTTCTACTGCTGGCTGGCCGCTACCGAACAGTCAAAGGTCCGACTTTATTACCGCGTCCATTCCATAGCGCGTAACGTCGAAGCACCAAAGGAAAAACCTTGTACCTACACGATACGTGAGGGTCGGTATAGTGCACGTACCAGAAAGACAGAACCAGTCATTTTTTCTATATGTTAATAAAAGTTAGAAAGGCGTTCGGTTCTAAAACGAAGTCCGCTTTGTCCAAGACAGGGTGAAAGAGAGAATCCGGAAGGTGAAGTGGCGTTGACCGGTGAATTTTTTTACCCGAAATCGAATTTTATATTTTTTAAAAACAGGGCAGAATCCCTAAAATTTGAACTTTTTTAAATCCTTGAAATATTAGCTTTATACTTCCCGGCCCCAAACTAAGAACCCCTTCAGCACGAAAAAAGCAGTCTCCCGTTTCCGTCTGACTATCTGTCTGTCTGTATGCCTATCTGTCTGTATCCATTTTTAGTAGACACCTAATCTCCGAAACTGCTGGACCGATTGTTGTCAAATTATATATCAAAAATATCATGTAAATCTTAACCAAAATTTTGCTAATCATCCCCTCAATTTTTAAAACAATTCTATGTTTATTTGATTTAATTGTTATACAACGATATACTCCTATACCTAAGTGTGGTGTTTTTTGCAAAAACATAATGCACGGTATAACAATAGTTCACCAAATCAAACTAATTTCTACGTGACATTCTTTCGATGTATAAACATAAATAAACACTTGAGCTTCAGATTGCTACTACATAGTGCTGAAGGACATTTTATCCCGTTAGTTCCGTGATGTGTGACTCAAAAAAATTAATGAATGCGTGAATTTATTTTATCGATTTAATCAGGAATTACAAAACCGAATGCTTTGAAATCTTGGAGATATTTTAAAGTTATCATAAGCATGGTAAACTTTTGTTCAAAATGTATTTGTTCATCCCTCCTAAAAAAATTGATGACGTCACCCCAAAATTTTGCTGAATAAATCCTATCTAAAATGCAAAAAATATGATGAGTTTGTACTTGTCCTACTTGTATCATTCTATTCATATTTTTTAGATTTTCTTAAGAGGTGGCTCACAAAAATTAATGAAGTCAATTTATTTTATTGATTAAATTAAAGGCAACACTTATTATTAGTATTACATTGGACCAACCCAATTTGGTAGACACAAAATTTTTTAAAGTAAAAACTCGGTTGAAACATAAGGGTAGCACGCTTATTTACATCTACTTTAACATTACAGACGTGCATTTGTTTTGTGCGCTGA